TTCCACATCTTCACCTATCTACTCTTGTGATCCGGAACCCTCCAGAGAAGGCTGGCTGGTTCTCTGCAAACACAAATCCAATTGAATACAATGCGTAAACAAAGGTACAAGATGTTTATAAAAGACTACAAAAAACGTATAATGGTATTTTTGATAGATGCGTCCTGCTGGCGTACACAGGGGTTTTAACCCTGACCTTTAATATACGCTGCAGTTATTGTATGGCTATTATCAAGACAGGATTACTTATAATGTGATTTGAATGGCTGCCATGTTTGTAAATAAGCCAACTCTATCCAGATAATTGGTGACCAATTTGCTTTCTGGAAATTGACAACAGACATCAAGCGATTTTACAAGCGATGCGGAAAACGCTTAACATGGTTTCGTCTCCATCTGTTTCTAAAAGATTTGGTCTGATGGTTTTGATTTCGTCTTCTTGTTTTTCTTCTTTACGACCTTGTAATTCCTTGTTGAACATTTCTTGTACAATATTTTCTATAAATAGATAAAGTTTAACCAGCACTTTTTCAAGTTTCTCTGTTCACCATACCTTATGGGTGCTGTACTAAATTTGCATTGAAAATTGTTTTTTAAGGATTTTACAAAAGAACATCAAGATAGTTCAAAAACGTTAATCAAACCGTTATTCGAACTGAGAATTGATAAAGCAACTTGCTGAACAAAAATATGTTCATATGCAATTACATATGTGTCTGACGTTAATCCATTTATATAACAGTATATAATGAAAAACAAATCACTTTATCATATGGTCTGAATACTCGACCTTAATTCCACGGGTGTAGACCAATGACTGTATTGTGTCCATGACAAGTCACTGTCTTTAGGACTGCGCGTTGCTGAGACTGTTTGTTCCATTATGATTTGCGTTGAGTTTTCCCTGCAGGCTTGTGGGTGAAACAATTTCTTATCATGATGTGTCCCACTACATGATAAGAAGAGGTGATTAATATGGAAGCCAAAATTGATCGGTTTTATTTAATGTACTCTTTTTATATATCATAATAACTGTGACAGGGTGAAATGTTATGCTACCGTGTCAATGTATGATACAATGTATATCAGTGAAATTGCTTTTTCACGTGGCCTTTAATAGGCCTCACTTATTTCCTTAATCACTGTTGATAAAGAAATAATATGTTGTATTCATTTTACGTTGCAGTATTATTGTTTAGCTTTTATATCCTTTTGGCTATGCAGGCTGCACTGTACGTTGCATTATTATTGTTCTGTTTCTTTTTTAATCACTTTAAAAAGATGGGTCATGCAGACTGCGCTGTACTTGCAAATATGACTGCCTGGTTTCTGTAGAGAAACGTCATGTATTTAAAGTAGGGTACATTTTACGTTCTGGTATGTTTGTCTTTTTTCTATGCTAAATCACTATATGTTTGACTCCGATACAGAGCTAGGGTCGCCTGGCGTCCGACAATAAAATGAAAGCTAAAGCTATAAATGAGAAATGTAGAAATCAAATTGAATAGTTCATTGAGAATCACTCGGAAATAGTGTTTTGTGCGTGTGTATATGCCGTCATGGTGTTTGACCCGGCTATAAATATGGCGTTACTTCAGAGGATGATACGTCGCCCGAGATTTGGATAGCACGGCACGCTTCAAACTTAAATAGTAAGAACCTTACGAGAACACACAACAAACTTTTTTGGTTTCGTCTACGACCTACTTGTTAAAGATGTTTATTACTATCAGAGGTGCCCTAAGTCAATACTGATATTTATTGCCTTGCTATTGTCTATTCTTGTTCAGGGCTGGATTGTTAGCTGTTTGTTGTGTGAATAGCAAGCTTGGCAAATCTCTTATTCTACATGGTTTTGTAATGTGCCAACATGTATTGAAAAGTCTACGTAGGTACATAATCATCTCTATTTAATGTGTTGACTTTGTCTTCTAGTTTGAATCTATTGATCCTACCTTGTCTACAAGGGTGTATCAATTTGTCCCATATTGTGTACAACGGTGTATCAATTCGTCCCACCTTGTCTACAAGGCTGTATCAATTCGTCCCACCTTGTCTACATGGCTATATCAATTCGTCCCACCTTGTCTACATGTCTATATCAATTCGTCCCACCTTGTCTACATGGCTGTATCAATTCGTTCCACCTTGTCTACATGGCTATACCAATTCGTCCCACCTTGTCTACATGGCTGTATCAATTCGTCCCACCTTGTCTACATGTCTATATCAATTCGTCCCACCTTGTCTACAGGACTGTATCAATTCGTCCCACCATGTCTACAGGACTGTGTCAATTCGTCCGACTTTGTCTACATGGGTGTATCAATTCGTTCCACCTTGTCTACATGAGTGTATCAATTTGTTACGCCTCGTCTTCATGGCTCTATCAATGTGTCCCACATTATGTACAACGGTGTATCAATTCGTCCCGCCTTGTCTACATGGCTGTATCAGTTCTTCCCACCTTGTCAACATCAGTGTAACGTTTTGTCCTACCTTGTACTAGAATGCTGTCAATTAATTGGTCCATTGCCGTCACGTGACGAATCTAAAAACAATATGGTTCAGAAAGAATTCTGCAGAAAGTCCTATATGAAAATGAAGTTTAATAAGTATTTCAGTTATTGTCAAATTAACAATTACTGAATTATTTTCCGTTTCATTTGCACGTGACTTGCTTTTGATATTCACAACAAATGAAGTGGAAGGAACCTCATAAAAGAACCCTACGAAATATACAAATTATACGTAATCTCTATATCAGTCCACATTTACCTTTATTGTATGGTCAACGATGCAGGAAATATATTTCAGACTTTGGCGTACATCACGAACATCCGCGCATTGATTTATGCATGATTAATCTAAAGTGGGCCGGCGACAGGGATACACTCTGCATTGCCAAGGGCTGGTCATGCGCCCTCCATCATACTTTGTTGAAGTATAGAGCTTAATTGGAGCAAAACATATTGACCTCGTTTTATCAGAAACAAAACTTATTTATGTCCCTTTCCTGTTTCCTCGTGATGTATCATTTTGGTGATCGTCTCACTGCCTGTCTATATCTTCAGGGTGTGAAAGGACCAATGCAGACATAACCTTGTAACAAGCCCATTAGGTATTCCTGGCTTTGTCTGCAACATGTCCATCTGTAGGTGATAGGGTCTGAATATTTAGGTTGTTTAGTCTAAAACGAATTCAATATTTTCGAGACATTATTAACCCAATTGTATTTTCAATATTATTGCCATTGAACGGTGTTTATTTTTGAAAGCATCATTGAGATTAAAGCCAAAGGAAACAAATAAAATGCCGTATTCCAGAGCACATTTTGGTTTTGTCTTGCACTCTATCATCATCCATAAAAGTATGCCTGTCACTGGGTATCAAAGACACAGTGAATGTCTTAAATCACAACAAATGTATACCTTTAAAGTTTCATAGTTTGAATTATGTTCATTATTCCTGATGTTCATTGAATAAAGAGTACATATAACATGACACTTTCCTAAGGTGGCTTCCTGACCATAGGGTGAGAGGCAGGGTTCTGTTCAAAGCTCATCGGTGTTTGCCAACATATCAATTGTGTAAAGTTTTGTTAATTCTTTGTTTAGATATAGTCCGATTACAGATAAAAATAATCAAAAACGACATCTGCAATGTATACGTTTGTTTGTTAATTATCAAAAACTGATTATGATAAAGTTAATGAAGGAGTACTGAGTTGGAACCTAGAGCTGACCTTACCTGTTTATTGACGAAAAAAAGAAATTTATACCGTTTGAAGATGAATTTGGCAGAATAAAGGTTCTTCTTCCTCAACTTCACATGGTTAGGATACTTTCTGAATTGATTTGACTCCCTGAGGTACTCTGTCTGTCGTATATCCCTGTTTGACCCCTCTGTACAGGTCGACAGTTAAACTAAATCAATGACACGCAATTGTCAATTATATCCGTTTCAATAAGTAGATGACCTGAGAATTTAGGTAACGGTGCTAAACAGGAACAAGGAAAAACTATTTGCAATATTGAAATTGCGTGTAAAACAATATTTATGGTGAGAAGAGAGAAAATGGTTGTCATAATTTCCCCAAAAGCTATCGTGTCTGCCTCGAAATCTCGTTATCGGGACATTAAAGCCAGGACCAATAAAGGTATAATTTCCCAATTGTATTGTATGGTCTTAATTATATATCGGCCGTCACGTATTCACTGTGCTACACATTACCTCATCCCCTGTGGGTTCGGAGAAAACCCTAAGTCAGTGAAGTCCCACTGCATTACGTCCGAGGCGGCTATTGTGGACTTCCGTGTAGAAGTGGATGTCTTCTACTGAGAACACGTTGAAGAGACCAATATTATTCTGCAGCTTTCGTTTCACTTGCCTATTCTGTCTTTATGGTAGTGTTTTCCTAAGGAACATTCTTCATATAAACTTAGCTGTTTTGTCTTGTTTAGTTTTGTTTAACGTCCTATTTACAGCTATGGTCATGTAAGGACGGCCTCCCCTGTGTGCAAGATGCATGCATGTAGTGTATGCGTGTGTGTGTTTAGGAGGCTGCGATATGTTCGTGTTTATCTCCTTGTGATCGCGTGGAACTGATGCCGACTTTATAGTGCTACCTCGCTGAAACATACTGCCGCAGACACCCAGTAGGACACCCGACCCGGTCACATTATACTGACAACGGACGAACCAGTCGTCTCACTCATAAATTGCTGAGCGTTATACAGACTCTAGTGTGTCTCTTGTAGGGGACATAATCCAAAACCTTCCTCACAGGGGCGAACGCTCAACTAAATGCCAAATGTGAGGCATTGTCAAGAGAGACATAAGGAAGAAGCAAGTTGTTTAGAAATAAGAGAAAAGATAGGATCACAAGCTGTTGCGAGTGCGTTAAACCACATGCAATTAAACTCATTACTATTTCCGTTGCTCACTTCTGTAAAAGTTAATATCACAGTGTACATAAACCTACACAATATATGTTACAGAGATGGTATACGCCGATGGCAGATTCACAAGACTTCGGGTCCAACCTGCGCAGATGACACAGCGTGGATGATGGTCCTTGATGACGATAACAGAACTCAGACATGCGCATGGGACTATCAGTCTGGCTTTCTGTACAGCCAGGAACCAGTGGCTGTGAATTTTGAAAAGGGTAAAACAAGCATCTAAGTCTTACAATATTGGCTCTGTTTAGCATATCATCAAGCAGTGATTGATAGAAGAACATAAGTTTCAATCTGAGGTAACAGTTGTGTCACGTTTAATCTTTGATTTTACCAATGTCAGGTGTGAAGCGGTAAGGTTTCTTGTTGCGTTATTCCCTCAATATTTTTACAAATTATTGATAAAGATATTTCGTTTATATTTCGGTTGGCCAATTTATGCACATACAAATATTACTATTAATCCCAGCAAGACATTACTTACCAAATCAATTTAACAATACAGTACATGTTTCTCCTAAATTGAGATTCCACTGATATTGTAATAACATTAAATTTATATGTGTATCATACAAAATGAAGTGTCGCGTGCCCAAATTTGGTCAATGCAGTCCTCACTTTAACCTCTGACGTTAAAGTTGTTTCAAGAGCAGTTCTTCTATGATATCTGTCTCATGCATAATTATCAAACTTGGTTGGCATTTAAATCTAGGAAGGTTAGAATGATTGGCATGTTTCAATTCGTTATGGCGTGTATTTTTATTTTTACTTAGATCACGACTTCAAGTTTCATCCATTTGAATATGATTCTTTTTAGCGAGTACGTTATAATTAAAAATAAAACCAGATATGCAATATAGATTCGAACTTGTTTTCACAAGTAAGATACGTTGTTTTCCGTACGCCATTATGTATCAAAGTAAATCGTTGATTTCCGTACCGAAAACATTATGCAATGTCTACGATCTGGGGAAATATCAGTGTACGACGTGACTTTATAAGAGCGTAGCTCTCGGGCGCCCAATGCGCCCGAGCGAAGCTCTTTAATGGTAACACATGCGTGCGTAAAAAGAGTTGCTTCCCTTTTCTACGTCTTGCCTTTGAATTTTTTCGTCCGGAAGTAGACCTCCAGTGGGGAAACCGGAAGTGTATCCTTGAGGCAAAGGCAATTGTGTTTCAACCCATAAATGAACATATTCGTATAGTGAAAACAATACCCATGTTTTATTACTTGTTTATTTAGATAAAAACTAATATACATTCTGTGTGAATTTTTTTTATCACATACATTTTGATACTAGCAGGCATAAAACGTCATTCAGAGATTATCATACGATGACGTCACAATCACGCCACACTCCATCGGCCTTCATCGGTTATTTCCGGAAGGATGAAAAATAACCGGAAAATCTTAGACTGACGACCGTTGCATTTATGTCTCTGTTGGTGCTTCATGACTTTTTAATTTCAGTTTTTGCCACAGGCATAAAAAGTAAAAACGCGGATGTTTTCTGAAGATTCTTTTTGTCATTAACCAGGTTGTGTTAATATATCTACCGAAAGATATTTTCAAAAAGAGCCGCATTAAACCAATAGGTCAACGTGTACATTTATTTATTCAGCTTTTAATTTCCATTTGTTGAGGATATGAACGAAACAATTAACATTTTTGGAAGTCCGGTTATAGTCTTTACATAATTTATGTATGCATCACCACTCATAAAAGAAACAATGGATAATTCATTTATGTCAAAATCAACAATCAACGCCCTTTTTCAGCAACGTATAACTTATAACAAGTTACAGATAGAAACTGTTTGATTTTATTTGGCATCATTACCTGTCAATCCTCAGTGACAGTTACAAAATTTGAAATTTAATCCGGTGTTTCAGGATGGAGCATGGATTATAAATATCGATATAACGACAATCTCAGTTACATCAAAGTATTACAATGTTGTTTTTTTTAATTAAATTTCTTAACCAACATCTCTCTACATTTACTTTTATAGACTTATCGTCAAATATGTAATATGCACTTTTTTCTATAGCAATTACGAAAAAGTTTTTTCCCACCTTATTTCAATCATTCTTTTTGTGACCTGACGGAAGCCAACAGAGGATTTAATTCTTAATGTGGAAGGAAGCCGGAGTATCCGGAAAAACCTGCATGGTCGGGCAGGTAAACGGGATTGAATCCGGCAATCTTGGTGAAGACGAGCGCGCTGTCCACTGCGCCATCCGACCAATCATATACGATACGCACAAGAACAAATATCTGCTTTAGCTTTGAAAATGGCGTCATTGATGCAAAAAATATATTGTAAATACATTTTTACCAATCATCAACGATACAAAAAATCTACATACGGGAGACTGGGGCTAGTTCGGGGCTGATATTTTTGTTTTTGAGCTTATATTTACAACTTTAACAAGAAGAAAAATGACAAGGAAAACTGTAATGTAAAATTACTAAGCAGGAGAAAATTACTTTAGAGAAAGAAAATCATGATCTCGCTTCTAGTTATGCGAACTTTCGCTATTTTTTTACGGTCAAACGTATAACACACTGACAGCTTCAAATGATATACATGTACATAAAAGCAAAGCCAATCACTCACTACTATATTGCTGTACGATAAGAATTCATTGCAATATCAATTTGGGCCCTTTTGGTATGTCGGTCTTAATCGCATTAGAGTTTGTTTTATTGTTATCCCTCGACTAGCTTTTAAATAGATTTTATCTTGCCTCATTCTGAAAGCAGTATTATCTCATTCTAGATCAGTAAATATCAGAGATCAACAAAAGCTTCGCTCTTTTAAGGCTTTGCCTTTGACAAGAGAATAGTTATAAGGTTAATATACACGTTTTCCAACGCAAACACAAAACACAAAAATAGCTGCGTTTATTGTTCCGGATGGTACTGATGGCATTATGAATCCAATATTTTATTCGTTTTGAATTTAAATAGTTCAGGTTTAAATACTTCAAATATTGTGCCATTAAACTCCATTTTGAAATCTTCGAGTACATTTTACAGATGAAACGATTGTTTCTAATGGCAATATATTGTATTTAGCATTCATGTTTTATCTGACATCATTAAATTCTAGCTCTTTACCTTTACTCTTGTTCATTTTCAGAATCGTCCTTTAACGCTGCCAAAGTGAAGCAAGCTAACGTCATGGGAGTGTTTGTACACGGTCAGTATATCATCATGGTTTACGGGAGTGTAATATTTGTAAACAACCAACACGAGTGGACATTTAATACGTAGAAATAAATAGAAATAAGTGTTCCTTTAATAAATTCAATAATTAGAAAGCCATCTTTCGAACGGTTCATAAATAAAACATCTAAGTTTTTGAACTCAGAAGAACTGTTTTGATATATTGTAACCATTGGTTCAAAGCGCTAATGCAGTTGCCCACTAAAATTGGTCCAACTCCCGATAAGACAGTTGCCCACTAGAATCGGTCCAACTCCCGATAGGACAGTTGCCTACTAGAATTGGTCCAACTCCCGATAAGAGAGTTTCCCACTAAAATTGGTCCAACTCCCGATAAGACAGTGGCCCACTAGAATTGGTCCAACTCCCGATAGGACAGTTGCCTACTAGAATTGGTCCAACTCCCGATAAGAGAGTTTCCCACTAAAATTGGTCCAACTCCCGATAAGACAGTTTCCCACTAAAATTGGTCCAACTCCCGATAAGACAGTGGCCCACTAGAATTGGTCCAACTCCCGATAAGAGAGTTTCCCACTAAAATTGGTCCAACTCCCGATAAGACAGTGGCCCACTAGAATTGGTCCAACTCCCGATAGGACAGTTGCCTACTAGAATTGGTCCAACTCCCGATAAGAGAGTTTCCCACTAAAATTGGTCCAACTCCCGATAAGACAGTTTCCCACTAAAATTGGTCCAACTCCCGATAAGACAGTTTCCCACTAAAATTGGTCCAACTCCCGATAAGACAGTGGCCCACTAGAATTGGTCCAACTCCCGATAAGAGAGTTTCCCACTAAAATTGGTCCAACTCCCGATAAGACAGTTTCCCACTAAAATTGGTCCAACTCCCGATAAGACAGTTGCCTACTAGAATTGGTCCAACTCCCGATAAGACAGTTTCCCACTAAAATTGGTCCAACTCCCGATAAGACAGTTTCCCACTAAAATTGGTCCAACTCCCGATAAGACAGTGGCCCACTAGAATTGGTCCAACTCCCGATAGGACAGTTGCCTACTAGAATTGGTCCAACTCCCGATAAGACAGTGGCCCACTAGAATTGGTCCAACTCCCGATAGGACAGTTGCCTACTAGAATTGGTCCAACTCCCGATAAGACAGTTGCCCACTAGAATTGGTCCAACTCCCGATAAGACAGTTTCCCACTAAAATTGGTCCAACTCCCGATAAGACAGTGGTCTCCACTGTGCACAACAGAATATTACACAATAACAACACATTTTATTGTGTCGATATATTCCCTACCGTTTGACGGGAAGTATGATGGTGTATTTGATTGCTTTTTGTTCATGGATTGTTATCGTTGATTGTCTTAGAACGATTGAAAAATCGAGGATTTTTATTAAGTTGTAATGAAAGTAATTCTTTAGTATGCCTAATATTTAAATTTACATGCAAGCAAGCTCAAATGGGTTCCCGATAAAATCATTTAATTTCAGTTTTAGCAGTATTCGAAAATCAACTTTTGTGATTACCTTCAGGATGGCGTCCGGTGTTAAAGATCTCAGCCGGAAGTGACCTCGGTTCTGCCATTTCTGTATTTGACCTTTGGTCGACTAATGTCACGGTCAATGATGGATCAGAAGCTGCAATGTCCACTATTCCTGGAACTCCAAATTTCAAATCCAATATCATAAATGGATGGAACAACCATAACATCCGAGCGGTAGGTCTGACAAAATACTTGTAAAACATAATCTATGATGACCAATCAAAGTTCATTGTCACTCAAGGGAATCACTTGTAAAATATCTGTCGAAAAGTTAAATCAAATAAAGTTACGGAAATGTATGAAGTGAACACATCTGTAATGATGAACAATAAGGGAGGCAGTATAAAATAATATAAATAATAATAATAAACTTTATTTATTGAGGATTACAAATCTGATTTAGCCAAAGGCTTATCTCCCTCAGGGTCCTCTAGAAAAAAAGTCTTTCTAGAAAAGCGATCTCGTAGATCCGCTGTACATTATAAAATAATACCCTATAACCATGAATAACCAATATGCATTACCGGTCAAAAGTGATATAACCCCGTGCAGGTGTTCTCTTCTTTGTTCTTATAATGTTGCGATCAAAACCCAAAATTACTTAACTTGATGTGTTTCCTCCGTTGCAACATTTTGGATCTCTTTCTTCTATTTAACTTTCGAAGTTAAGTTGTTGCGAGGATGACGGAGACATTTGTTTGGAATGTGGGGAATGTGCTATCTAACTGAAATACCATGCCAAATGCACATAGGACAGCATTCCGCCCGGTCACATTATACTGACAAATGATGAACGAGTCATTTGCTATTCATACCAAACTAGTGAATCTCTTTCCGCATACAATGTAACATGTTACACTTACAGGTTAAAGTGGCATTTTTGACTGGAGGTGTACAGAAGGGATACGCTGTATTTGATACCACCACGGCTGACCGGACTAGTTGGATGGACTGTAAGCGGCTCCTGTACTCCAGCTTCACTGACCTACTGACCGGTACACCGTCCATCTGTAGCATACAGGGGTACGCTGAAACTACTGAAATCGTGAAATTTGTACATCGCCCCTCTAAATATTTGCAGAGTATAAAACCAAGAATATAGAAAAGGATAACTGTATCTTATATCTAAAAAATGTTTGAATGAACATGCATACAGACCCAAAGTATCTTTCGGGGAAAAGAATAGTTATCGTTAACACATTATCATAATTTCAAAGTTGATACATCACACTGAATATTAACGATCCCTGTACAAAGACTTAGAAGATAAACTATTAGCTTACTTTGAGCATTCTCTCTATCCCCTTTCACCACTAAATGATCACGATGACCGCTCGATGTGGGGATCACATTTAATTTATTACAATATTTGTAATCTTTATCTTTTTTTTTTACATTTTTTCTCTTCTTTTTTTTTACCATTTTCCCCGGATAGGACCTCGTCAAGTTGGAAAGGATGCTATACAAATATCATCTAATTAAAAGTAGCTATACAAAGTTGTAACAGAGAAGAGACATTTTATAAATTGCGTGAAACTGGTTTAGCTGGATATATACTTTAAGTTTGGTTTACGTTGACATTTAATAATATATCAAGTTCACTTTTGTATAACCTTCCGGAATGTTTGGTTATGTTCGTCTTGTACTTTATTCAGGGGTCTTCATGTAACTCATTCGTTTGTTATTATGTTCGAATTCAAGTACGGTTTTGTTTTCTCTTTGTTATGCACCTTTCAGATATGAATATATGTGTGTTCACCGCTTGTTATATAAGATCTCTACTGTCGTTGAAACATGTCTTTCCATCGTATTCATATAACCTTGGATACAGGTGACCAACTCTCTCTGATTTAATAAATCACATAGGCATAGCATGTTGTCCGTATATGAGGACTAGAGCATCGACCTTATCTAGACCTCTGATATTTGATTTTTGTTTTATGATTTCTGAGCAAAGAGGTACCTAAAAAGAATGGTATAAATATTCCTTCTATAGGTTAACACTGTAACCTTCATTCTACATACATTGTACATATCTTGACATTTCCAGCGTGAAACCTATTTACCTTAAATACTAAATACTATTTCACTTAAAGACGTTCATCCATAGTCGAAAAGCTGAAAATCTACTTCTTATTGTTCTTAAATTATCAATAACATCGGCAATAATAAATATCAAGACAAGTGTAATAAATCGTTCTGAATGCTTAATATACTTTCTCATCATTTCAGTCAAGCTTCTGAAGGACGCCGATTTTTCGTCTCCGGACCGGACGTAGACTGTGAAAACACTACCGCTTGGTTTGTTGTCGTAGACAAGGCAAACATGGGCTCATGTCCTTGGGAAACAGCTTCTGCAGACCGTCCGAGGTTTCTGTTCTCCGGATCTCAAACGAAACAACCTGTTGGAGGTAAATAGAGATACAAGATAAAGTTGTACACATATGTGTTAATCTAATGGGGGTTTTGTGTCATCGCATTAGTGTAGGCATAATAACACTCGAGATCCACAACAAATCGCCATCACACTTAAATGTATTTTTTGACACCGTAGTGTACAAGTGTAACACCCAATCACATTTTTTATCTGAAAAATATAACTGGAACTGCTTATGAGACTGAAAAAAGAAAGACTTCATCAGTATATCACAGAGAAAAGAAAGAAAGCGGTTCGCAGTCTGCCACTGGGGAAGCAGATTTATAGCGATCTCATATATGTTCCCAAAAAGTGAATGTGACACAGACGAGTTCCCTGATTACGTAGACGATCCTTTAAAAGTCGCCTATAACTAGAATACCGAGGTTAATGTTCATTCTTATTTCATTCAAGAAGTAAAAGTTATTCCCTGTGTAACGTTTAGGGCAATGGTAGCAACAAGTTAAGCCGTTACTCTATTCAGTTCCTTCGGAAATATGCTATTGCATCCAGCACACATTCAGTCAGGCACGCATACACAACACAATGAAGCATGTCTTTGCGTTACATTAGCTATTAACAGGACGTTAGACCCAATGCAACTATTACAAGACCGACCTCTACATCATCTTTCCAACGATTTATTTGCTTCAATTTGAAGATCAAAAGATCCCTAGAAGGATTGGTGAAAGAATCACGTTTATTATTTAAGCTTGCGATAAAAAAGCAAAAGGCAATATATTTACTACGCCATTCTTTGGTTTGTTTGTGTTTTACGTCCTATTAACAGCTATGGTCATTTAAGAACGTGCCATGTTCTGATGGTGGAGACAAGCCAGAGTTTCCGGAGAAAAGACACCGACAAACGACCAGTACCTGGCACGTTGGTCTTCAAAATCGCGTCCCAGTGCTGGAGGGCTAGAGGTAGCATATTCATATTTACAGAATCCATTTTCTTTTGTAAACAATACAGCGTAATGGGAACGGTGCCTATCATACCCATGATAATGTTACAAAGCTTCAACTCTGGATACAGCAAAACAGTATAGTTAAGATAGCGTTTCATGTAAACCGTACCAATTTTATCTGCAAGGGTAAATATGTACGGTAGATCTATGGGGTTGATCATCTAGCAGCGGGGTTAACTACATTGTGCCGAAAGATTAAGAATACAAAGAAGGAAGAACCTTTTTGAAATGTTAATGTATCGATTTAGAGAGGCAAACCATGTGGTAATAAAGGCCACAATAATTACAGTTCAAATCCAGAGGGTTTCGGAATAGATGTAAGATATAAAACCATTTTTAACATCACACATTTACTGATTTGATTACAACAGGTATACGTTCTTTTACTTATGCTAGTGTTTCATGAATACATCGCTAAAATAAAATCATACAATGTTAACTCTATCTATAACTTTATACTTACTCGCAATGTTAATGAAACATAATATCATTGCATATACAGTGTTTCCAGTGTTTCTTTATGTTAAAGACACGTACGTAATTCTCACGTCAGACGATTGACATCCCAACCTGTCGTCAACACAAAGCCGTCTTATATTTTTACACGATGTCGCATCAGATCCCTCGGTAATGATAAAGTAACCGTTTGGTGAAACAAGAGTGACTGAGACAATGAAGGTTGCTTAATTGGATAGAAAACAGCGACGGGTTTAAATCTGAAGAATTGAAATTGAAGTCATATGACTTTGGCTGTTGTGAATATGTGAAATGCCAATCAATCACCTGATCAAAACAGAACAAACACAGTTGCTGTACAGGGGGTGATAATAGTCTCTCCTTATAGTGATAAAATCGTTTTCTCTGAACCTGCTGGGGATTTTTGAAAAGTCAAAACGTTATCGTGATTTGTTCGTGTTAATAAATCTAGAAATATCAAGATAAATTCTTGTTCGTTAAGATGGTATGCTGTAGGATGTATTGGTATGAGTTTTGATAGCTGAAACTAAAGTGAAGCGTGCATACTATTGAATCTAAGAAATAATTTCTATGAAATAAATACTCTTATAATTACGAATTATCGAACAAAATCCAAGCAGGAAGAATTGCGATTGTTTGGTAATGGACATGTCCACTCTTTCAAATCAAGGGTTATCATATATCACCTTGCCTCGACTTAAAGAAGGCATATATTCGCAACCTATACAGGGTTCTTCAGGGTAATTATAACCCCGTTTAGCGCAGGTGGGTTGTGTTCGTGTGTGTTGTATCGTGGGGTTGTGTCCGTTCGTCCGTCCGTCTGTCTGTACATAAGTCACACTCCCTGTCATTACTTCTGAGTCCGAATTGTCGGACAGATTTTCTCTAAATTTCATAAGTATGTATTCTTTGGACATACACTTTTGTGTTTTGCTAAGTGAGTGATTTTATTTGGCTACAGGATAACCCATTGTCTTTCGACTACACAATCTTCAGATATGACGTCACGTTAGAGTAATGCTTTCTCTTTGTTTTATTCAAAAAGTGAAATATTTTCGACAAAAAACAGAAAGTTCGACTCTCTTTTGACGGATGCAGTATGACATAAGATCCCGTTGCGAATAACAAAATGTCAGCCAAACTGTACCGTCACTCAGCTCATCTTTTCTGATACTGTCGTAATAATCTAATTTTCCAAATTCCTCAAACTATGAAGACAATTTGAACTCATCTCTGGCGAACGTGTGCAAATCCGTAGTGTCCTGTTTCGCGCCATACCGCTCACGTGCGATCAATAACAACGACTTCGACTCACGTGGAGAGGTAATAGTTAGTGATTCGTGATGCGGTGTACATGCAACTGTCAAAATTGTCTTTCACATTTTTAATATCCCCCCGACTGACGTTAATTACATATCACTGAACAGAAAACGTATCGATTAAGCTAGACATTGTCTGTAGAATCCGAAAAGCCATTTGTGTCAGATACGGCTTCATATACCTGGTATTGATCTGCTGACTCTACTGTTCTCTCGTGATAGTCCACGTCCCGATATCTGTGCTGTTAAAATATCTTTAAATCATATGTAAATATAAAAAACAACACTTAATCGAATTGTTTATTTAGGTCGAATGAAAAACGGTGGTCACATGTGAAGGAGCCAGTCAAAGGTCACTTCAAATTACTTTCACGTTGATATATCATATTTTGTAAAGGTACATATGCAGGATGAACACCCAACTGGTAGTTTCAGCTCGTAAAGTGCCCCGCCTATATCACAGAATGTTTTAGAGCCTTACAAAACAAAAACACAGTATTAATATCTCCCCTACACAACAACAGGTCGGCACCACACTGCTACAACTGGTTGTTTTAGAGCCTTACCTCTCCAAAAAAAAACAGTATTAATATATCCCCACCACAAAAACAGGTTAGCACCACACAGCTACAACTGGTCGCTTAAGAGCCTTACCTCTACAAAAAACGGTATAAATATCTCTCCACCACCACAACAGGTAGGCACCACACAGCTACAACTGGTTGTTTTAGAGCTTTACCTCTCCAAAAATAAAGTATTGATATCTCCCCATCAAAACAACAGGTCGGCACAGCACCGCTACAACTGGTTATATTAGAGCCTTGCCGCTACAGAAAAACAGTATATATATAGCCCCACCACAAAAACAGGTCGGCACCACACCACTAAAACTGGTTTTTTTAGAGCCTTACCTTTACAAAAGCAAATACTGATATCGCCCCACCACAGCAACAGGTCGGCACCACACCGCTACAACTGGTTGTTACAGAGCCTTACCTTTACAAAATCAAATAGTGAAATCTCCCCTCCACAACAACAGGTCAGCACCACACCGCTACAACTGGTTGTCTTAGAGCCTTACCTTTACAAAAACAGAAATAATATCTCCCCACCACAACAACAGGTTAGCACCACACATATAGAACTGGTTGTTTGAGAGCCTAACCTTTACAAAAACAAATACTGATATCTCCCCCCCACAACAACAGGTTAGCACCACACATATAGAACTGGTTGTTTGAGAGCCTAACCTTTACAAAAACAAATACTGATATCTCCCCACCACAACAACAGGTCGGCACCACATCGCTACAACTGGTTGTTTTAGAGCTTTACCTCTCCAAAAATAAAGTATTGATATCTCCCCATCAAAACAACAGGTCGGCACAGCACCGCTACAACTGGTTATCTCTACAAAAAACAGTATAAATATCCCTCCACCACCACAACAGGTCGGCACCACACAGATGCATCTGGTTGTTTTAGAGCCTTACTTATAGTCTTACCTTTATAAAAACCAGCATTAATATCTCTCCCCCACCACAAAAGGTCGGCACCACACAGATACAACTGGTTGTTTAAGAGCCTTACCTTTACAAAAACAGAAATAATATCTCCCCACCACAACAACAGGTTAGCCCCACACAGCTACAACTGGTCGCTTAAGAGCCTTACCTCTACAAAAAACAGTATTAATATCTCTCCATCACAACAACAGGTCGGCACCGCACATCTACAACTGGTTGTTTTAGAGCCTGACCTCTTCAAAAAACAGTATCAATATCTCCCCGCCACAACAACAGGTCTGTCCCAAACCGCTAAAGCTGGTTGTTTTATAGCATTACCTCTACAAAAACCAGCATTAATATCTCTACGCCAACACAACAGGTCGGCACCACACAGCTACAACTGGTTGTTTTAGAGCTTTACCTCTCCAAAAATAAAGTATTGATATGTCCCCATCAAAACAACAGGTCGGCACAGCACCGCTGCAACTGGTTATTTTAGAGCCTTGCCGCTACAGAAAAACAGTATATATATAGCCCCACCACAAAAACAGGTCGGCACCACACCACTAAGTATTGATAACTCCCCATCAAAACAACAGGTCGGCACAGCACCGCTACAACTGGTTATTTTAGAGCCTTGCCGCTACAGAAAAACAGTATATATATATCCCCATCACAACAACAGGTCGGTACTACACAGCTGCAACTGGTTGTTTTAGAGCCTTAACTCTACAAAAACCAGCATTAATATCTCTACACCAACACAACAGGTCGGCACAGCACCGCTACAACTGGTTATTTTAGAGCCTTGCCGCTACAGAAAAACAGTATATATATATATCCCCATCACAACAACAGGTCGGTACTACACAGCTGCAACTGGTTGTTTTATAGCCTTACCTCTACAAAAACCAGCATTAATATCTCCCAACCACAACAACAGGTCGGCACCACAACACTACAACTGGTTGTTTAAGAGCCTTATCTTTACAAAAACAAATACTGATATCCCTCCACCTCCACAACAACAGGTCGGCACCACACCACTAAAACTGGTTGTTTTAGAGCCTTACCTTTACAAAAACAAATACTGATACCCCCCCTCCACAACAACAGGTCGGCACCACAACACTAAAACTGGTTGTTTTAGAGCCTTTCCTTTACAAAAACAAATACTGATATCTCCCAACCACAACAACAGGTCGGCACCACACCACTAAAACTGGTTGTTTTAGAGCCTTACCGCTACAAAAACAAATACTGATATCTCCCCACCACAACAACAGGTCGGCACCACACCACTAAAACTGGTTGTTTTAGAGCCTTTCCTTTACAAAAACAAATACTGATATCTCCCCACCACAACAACAGGTCGGCACCACACCACTAAAACTGGTTGTTTTAGAGCCTTTCCTTTACAAAAACAAATACTGATATCTCCCCTCCACAAGAACAGGTCGGCACCACACCACTAAAACTGGTTGTTTTAGAGCCTTTCCTTTACAAAAACAAATACTGATATCTCCCCTCCACAACAACAGGTCGGCACCACATAGACACAACTGGTTGTTTTAGAGCCTTACCTCTACAAAAACCAACATTAATATCTCTACACCAACACAACAAGTCGGCACCACACAGATACAACTGGTTGTTTTATAGCCTTACCTCTACAATAAACAGTGTTAATATCTCCCCACCACAACAACAGGTCGGCACCACACCGCTACAACTGGTTGTTTCAGAGCCTTGCCGCTACAGAAAAACAGTATATATATATCCCCACCACAAAAACAGGTCGGCACCACACCACTAAAACTGGTTGTTTTAGAGCCTTACCTTTACAAAAACAGTATTAATATCTCCCCACCACAACAACAGGTCGACACCACACCACTAAAACTGGTTGTTTTAGCGCCTTACCTTTACAAAAACAAATACTGATATCTCCCCTCCACAACAACAGGTTAGCACCACACAGCTACAACTGGTTGTTTTAGAGCCTTACCTTTACAAAAACAGTATTAATATCTCCCCACCACAACAACAGGTCGACACCACACCACTAAAACTGGTTGTTTTAGCGCCTTACCTTTACAAAAACAAATACTGAAATCCCCCCTCCACAACAACAGGTCAGCACCACACCGCTACAACTGGTTGTTTTAGAGCCTTACCTCTACAAAAACAAATACTGATATCTCCCCTCCACAACAACAGGTTAGCACCACACAGCTACAACTGGTTGTTTTAGAGCCTTACCTTTACAAAAACAAATACTGATATCTCCCCTCCACAACAACAGGTCGGCACCACACCGCTACAACTGGTTGTTTCAGAGCCTTACCTTTACAAAATCAAATAGTGATATCTCCCCTCCACAACAACAGGTCGGCACCACACCGCTACAACTGGTTGTTTTAGAGCCCTACCTTTACAAAAACAAATACTGATATCTCCCCCCACAACAACAGGTCGGCACCACACCGCTACAACTTGTTGTTTTAGAGCCTTACCTTTACAAAAACAAATACTGATATCTGCCTACCACAACAACAGGTAAGCACCACACAGCTAAAACTGGTTGTTTTAGAGCCTTACCTTTACAAAAACAAATACTGATATCTCCCTACCACAACAACAGGTAAGCACCACACAGCTAAAACTGGTTGTTTTAGAGCCTTACCTTTACAAAAACAAATACTGATATCTCCCCTCCACAACAACAGGTCGGCACCACAACGCTACAACTGGTTGTTTCAGAGCCCTACCTTTACAAAAACAAATACTGATATCTCCCCCCACAACAACAGGTCGGCACCACACCGCTACAACTGCTTGTTTTAGAGCCTTACCTTTACAAAACCAGCATTTATATCTCTACACCAACACAACAGGTCGGCACCACACCGCTACAACTGGTTGTTTTAGAGCCTTACCTCTACAAAAACAAATACTGATATTTCCCCTCCACAACAACAGGTCGGCACCACACTGCTACAACTGGTTGTTTTAGAGCCTTACCTTTACAAAAACAAATACTGATATCTCCCCTCCACAACAACAAGTCGGCACCACACCGCTACAACTGGTTGTTTTAGAGCCTTACCTTTACAAAATCAAATAGTGATATCTCCCCACCACAAAAACAGGTCGGCACCACACCACTAAAACTGGTTGTTTTAGAGCTTTACCTATACAAAAACAAATACTGATATCTCCCCTCCACAACAACAGGTCGGCACCACACCGCTACAACTGGTTGTTTAGACCCTTACCTTTACAAAAAAAATTACTGATATCTCCCCACCACAACAACAGGTTAGCACCACACAGCTAAAACTGGTTGTTTTAGAGCCTTACCTTTTCAAAAACAAATACTGATATCTCCCCTCCACAAGAACAGGTCGGCACCCCACCCCTAAAACTGGTTGTTTTAGCGCCTTACCTTTACAAAAACAAATACTATATCCCCCCTCCACAAGAACAGGTCGGCACCATACCACTAAAACTGGTTGTTTTAGAGCCTTACCGTTACAAAAACAAATACTGATATCTCCCCTCCACAACAACAAGTCGGCACCACACCGCTACAACTGGTTGTTTTAGAGCCCTACCTTTACAAAAACAAATACTGCTATCTCCCCCCACAACAACAGGTCGGCACCACACCGCTACAACGGGTTGTTTTAGAGCCCTGCCTTTACAAAAACCAGGTCGGCACCACACCGCTACAGCTGGTTGTTTTAGAGCCCTACCTTTACAAAAACAAATACTGATATCACCCCTCCACAAAAACAGGTCGGCACCACACCGCTACAACTGGTTGTTTTAGAGCCCTGCCTTTACAAAAACAAATACTGATAGCCCCCCACCACAACAACAGGTCGGCACCACATCGCTACAACTGGTTGTTTTAGAGCCTTACCTCTACAAAAACAAATACTGATATCTCCCCTCCACAAGAACAGGTCGGCACCCCACCCCTAAAACTGGTTGTTTTAGCGCCTTACCTTTACAAAAACAAATACTGATATCTCCCCTCCACAAGAACAGGTCGGCACCACACCACTAAAACTGGTTGTTTTAGCGCCTTACCTTTACAAAAACAAATACTATATCTCCCCTCCACAAGAACAGGTCGGCACCACACCGCTACAACTGGTTGTTTTATAGCCCTACCTTTACAAAAACAAATACTGATATCTCCCCACCACAACAACAGGTCTGCACCACACCGCTACAACTGGTTGTTTTAGAGCCTTACCTCTACAAAAACAAATACTGATATCTCCCCTCCACAACAACAGGTCGGCACCACACCGCTACAACTTGTTATTTTGGAGCCTTACCTCTACAAAGACAGCATTAATATCTCCCCACCACAACAACAGGTCGGCACCACATGGCTACAACTTGTTATTTTGGAGCCTTACCTCTACAAAGACAGCATTAATATCTCCCCACAACAAAAACAGGTCGGCACCACACAACTACAACTGGTTGTTTAGAACCTTACCTCTACAAAAAACAGTATTGATATATCCCCACCACAACAACAGGTCGGCACCACACCGCTACAACTCGTTGTTTTATAGCCTTACCTCTACAAATACAGCATTAATATCTCCCCACCACAACAAGAGGTCGGCACCACACAGCTACAACTCCCCATGACTACAAGACGTTGTTGCAATACCTCGCCGACACAACAACAGGTTGTCAACTCAAATCATTTCCATTCATATATTTTGTAAATTCTATGGCTTATATTTAAGATGTATACAATGTTAATGCAGTTTAACACGCACGCAAGGAAACACGCGCACACATACACACGTGCATTCCTGTAATATATATTCAGAACTGTATGGACAGAAAGCGTTGTGTAAATCCGAGTCTGATGAATTGACCGAGATAAATTAGCATGTTGATTCAGTACCTCGTCGCTACATCAGCGATCCTGTTCGGCGCCACTACAGTCTTGTACTCTTACAGTGATTAACGAGCATTGTCTCCAGTAATTAAAATTAGATTAATATCTGCATCGGTAACATTTACATTCCAATGAACATCAAATAAATCGGCAGCTAATCTTATTAAGATCTGATCACCCTTCACTCAGAGGAGTTCCTTCGTGTCTCGTTCGTCTTTAACAGCATATCCGATGTGACATTTATCGAAATGTACTATTAGCGCCGTCTTATTATTATGTTAAAAACATACGTTTTATTCTTCAGTTGAGACGACAGGCAGATATATATGGACTCAAACCCAATCTCTGTGCGTAATCTGTCTGTGCATGTAGCTTAAGACCAGATATCAGGGGAGGGAAATCTCCTTCAACAGCTCTTTGTCTTCTTTTGCTTCCCCAGATCGTCGTGTGTCGTATGCTGAGATATGCTGATCTGCATTCTAGTGTTCATTTTCTAGTTTGTTGTACATGTTTTTTTCAAAGTCCACACTCATGTGGCCTCTGTCATTTCAAAAGGAAAGCGTGCAACATTATTACTCACGGAAGTAAATTGTTATTTAACAAAAGTCAGCAGGGGAGTACAAGAGACGGTAATGGATACAAGCTTTTACTATAAAGATATATCATCGCCCCTATAACTTTCGTAGACCCCTATACTCCTATATTGGGTCAATGGCAAACTACACAAGTTATCAAAATCAATTGCGCTTTTTTCGAACAAAATACCCAAATTTTATTGGTCATGTTTTTTTCTTTTCATACAACAATTAATACAAATCATATAGCCACGCCCACTGGAAATACAGACATCTCAGCGAATAGCAACGCTGGGGACCGATAGTTTGTGACGTGAAATTTACGTGGCATATAACACGGTCATCAACGACATCTTCGACTATTGATAATGAAGCTGATATAACAGTTTTCTCTCTTTGGTAACATCCAATGAATATAAAGAAACTATTTAGACAACTCTCCACTACTTCTCTCACAATATGCAGATGATACCTCTCTCATTTTAGATGGAACGAAACAATCATTAAAAGAATCAATAAAAGAGCTTAATTTATTTGCAAAAAAATCTGGTCTTAAAATAAATAAAAGTAAAACACAAGTTATATGGATAGGCAGTAAAAAGTACAGTGATGAGATATATTATCCTGAATGGAACCTGAAATGGGGAAGTCAAAAATTTATGGTATTAGGTATAGAATTTCATGTAGATTTTCATCAAATCCCTAAATTAAACTATGATAAAAGACTAGTGAAACTTAAGTCAATAATTAAGAATTGGAGTAGACGAATATTAACACCAATAGGAAGAATACAAATAATTAAATCTTTATTAATATCTCAATTTAATCATCTATTTATCTCCTTACCAAATCCAGATGAAAATTTTATTAAAAAATTAAATTCAGAATTTTTTAATTTCCTATGGAAGAGTAAAGTGGATAAAACAAAACGGGAAATAATCATCAAAAGCTATCAGGAAGGGGGTCTTAAAATGATACACATCAAGTCTTTTATTGAAGCCTTGAAACTTACTTGGATACGTAGGTTGCTTACATCAGGGGGTAAATGGCAAGTGTTATTTAAAAAATATGTTAATAAGGACATTTTATTTAATTGTGGTTCAGAATACTTATCGATTATTCAAGGCAATTGTAAAAACCTTTTTTGGAAAGATGTGTTCCAATCATGGAGAAAAATAGCTGATAAAGAAGATTGTATAAGAGAGATGAAAAGTAGATTGAAAATGCCTATTTGGTATAACAAATATTTTACAGTAGGAGCCAAGTGTTTATTTTATAAGCAATGGTTTGAAAAGGGTGTTTTAATTATAAATGACTTATTAAAAGATAATAACTCTGGTATTTTCTATAGTTTTATAGAATTTTCACAAAAATTTGATGTAAAAACTAACTTTCTCACATATCAAGGTATTATTAATACTATAAAAAACTACATGTCCAATGATGATACTTTAAATACTTTGATTAGTTATCCATACATACCCTTAAATTTAGAAATATTTATGAGGCAAAAAAAAGGAACTCAAGATTTTTATAAGTTGTTGTGCCAAAATAGTACCATATCCACTGGGAAAAACAAATGGAATGAATTGTTTGAATTTGATGATGACACATGGAAATTGATATATATGCTTCCATTTACAGTAACTAGAAATTCAAAATTACAATGGCTTCAATACAGAATAAATCAACACATTTTAACAACAAACTCTTATCTAGTTAAAGCAGCTCTTACCGATAGTGCTCTTTGTTTTCAATGTAAGACTGAAATAGAGACAATAATTCACACACTATGGGAATGTGAGAAAGTACAAGACTTTTTACAAAATTTTGAATTCCTTCTTGATGCATTGTTAATCCCATTTGGTTTTAACAAGGAAACCTTCATTTTCGGTTTATTTAATCAAAATAGTATCAGTAGTAGGGTAGATAATACCATAATTTTACTTATAAAACAATATATTTATAAATCGAGATGTTAACAAATGTCATTGTCAGTAGCTGCACTTAAGAACGTTATCAAGGACACATATTTTACTCAGAGATATATTGCTGTTAATAAAAGTGAATTATTTTTGTTGAAATTCAATACTGAATGGAAAAAATGGGAAAGTCTAATTAATATTGCTTAAACCCTGTCTTTGCCAAATTATGAACATATATAAATCGAGTTTTCTTATATAAACATGTACTTCTAAATACTTATATGTAAAATTCCGTGAACCTTCCAACACATCTATATAGCTTCTTTATTTCTCAATATCCCCCCCCCTCGTTTTTTTTTTTTGTTTTTGTTTTTTTCTCTCTCTCTCTCTTAGTCTTACTTTCCCTTCTATACCTCTAGGACCTGCTCTAACCTCTTTTCTATCACTTCTAAACAATGCTTTTATATAACGGACACAATTTAGATGGAATTTAATTATACATAAACATAATTAATTATTAATTATACCTGGAAATATGCAGTTTTATTATAAATGAATATTTAATGAATGAATTGTAATGTGCGAGAGGAATAATGTTTATGTACGATATATTTGCATTGTTATAAATTTGGAAAAAAAATAAAAAAAAAAATACAAAAAAAAATAAAAAATTAGGAAAGAAATTTATCGGAAATCGCTTCTTTAAGAAAGAACACATTAATTTTCTTATGTGTTATGGTCGGTATCAGAATCTCATAGACATTGTGTGATATGAAGGTCGATAGTTTTTAAAATGCTCGTTAGAGTGCCGTGAGTTTTTGTTAACATTACCCGAGTTCTCTATGTGAGGACTTGGCATTACTTGGATTTGACTTCGATTTACATTGCGGTGTCATCGATGAAGCAAAAGACGCCCATTCTTCCGGAACACCTGGTCTTATTTCACTCTAACGTTTTCAAGGATCGCTATGCAAATATGTCCTTTGTTCATATTTTCCCCTCCTCTTAACAATCATAAGTTCAAAGTATGGTTTTGTTGACACTTCGGTATTCTTTTGTTGTGTTCCGTCACGTGACCACACATCTGTCTCTCTTGTGCTTCATTATATGTGCTTATATTTATATAGTTTGTATAGAGTATAGTGTAATTCCGACAAATGAGTCATGGATTTATTAGAACTTAATAACATAGTAAAAACAAATTATAAAAGAAAACACGATTATGACTCATGTCCTACTCAAAAGTTTTATTTCCGAGATTAGACAATGTGAATCTTAGAACACGATATACAACAATCTATAGTTTGAAAATTCAACATTTCGACTTTTTTTAACTTTCTGAAACGAAAATAGAAATAAACCGAGATGTATCCTCCTCTCTCTCTCTTTGTTTGTCGGACTCAGTATGCAGTCTTCGTTAATTGCACAAACCAATTTGCTTTTGAAATCTTGCATACGATAATTGATGGCTACTTTGTTTGATTTACAATAAACCATTTATAATAACCACGTGTTTGAAATTGGCTATTACAGTTGTGGGATCGCACACCGTTACACGATGTGCGGTGTGCGCACGATGTGTGCACGGTGTGTGCACGATGGGCGAACCATAAAAAGCTGGACGATCATTGCTTGCGCCCATCTGTGCGCACGATGGACGGACGTTGTGCGATAACAATCGTGGTTGGTGTAAATTGAGGAATGCCTTAACAATTTATACGGTTTCGTGTTTAAACATATAAACTTGATGTTTACGTATGTTTCTATATTCCAGCAACATCTATAAGCTTATCTTTCTGTCTATACATTCTTTTATTTAGAAATTGTGTTTTCTGTGTTTTTAAACAAACTTAATCGACACATGTAAGATTACAACACAATCCCGAACCTGTACCGTAGTTTTCTCCCGCCTGGGGCAGTTACGTAACTCGTCGGGTAAGGCCGGGTGTGTGAAAATCCAGGTGAAGGGGAGCTATAGGTAAACGAATGCAAATAACAAATACTATTCATTACGGTCAAACGGCATCGCATATCAGCTCTGTGTGTCAGGCACTGATCAGGTAAAACTCCGGACACTCATAAAATTGATATTTACCTGTTCTGTTACCTTGGAGCCAAACCCATTCTTGACAGCCTAACGGTCGCTGTAATACTTCGTAACACGCATTGTAATATTGTATAATCTTGATTGTTGTGATGAGAAATTACAGATATATACACAGTGTACATTATCGCATACAAGCCTTCCGTATTTTTGTCATTCGGTAATTTTGATCTACAAATGATACCAAATCGCACAGTTGTGCGGAAAGAAACGCACAACGGGGCGAACGATTGCTAAATCGCACAGTAGTGCGCACAATGTGTGGACGATGTGCGGACGGTGTGTGAACGATGCATGCACGGTTTGCGCACGCTATTTTTGGTGCGTTGTGCGGTCCCACAACTGTAACTTGATTAGGCGTGAAATCTAACAGACTACATTTTCTGTCCATTTAATCTAAAGAGCCTTCTATACGTACATGTATGGTTTGGAGGGTGGTAAAAGAGAAGTGGCTCGTTTGTGACAGCTCATTATGTAGTGAAAGTATCTCGTATCGATCTAAAACATGAAGTGAGCTAAAATCTGTACATAGTGTTATAATGAACACTGATTTCTGAAACGAACAATTTTAAAAACTTCTTTTAATTATTCTAACTGGAAGCCTATATCATGTCATTATGATGGGGGAATGATTGTACGCCATTACCATGGAAACCGCCCAATAGCACGATGTGTCAAGGAGAAACAGTGTAACCATAACAACAGGCACATGGCCGTTCATTAGGCGCGTGCAGCAGGGCATTAGGCCTACTCCGAGAAGTACAATCTACGGTAGTTGAATGACAACTGCATCATTATTTTGCTATACAAATTAAAGTTTGGTGTGGTAAGAATGTTAAAATGTCATATTTTTGTTGTGTATTTTTTTGCTTTGTATTATCATCATTTCTGACGTTTGGCACCTGTTATAATTAAATAAGAAACGTTGCATAACGCTGTCAGGATCTGACGGTACCACGGCAGTACCTAAACCACGTGCACCAGCGCACAATTGTACTTTGACAAATTGGGTTACTTAAGCCTTTATGATTTCAAGGAGTTTTAGTTCCATAAGCTATAACCACATTTTAGTTGTGTCAGACCGGGTTTAGACGATATAACAATGTAGGTGTATGTATCGTGTTATTAGATCACTGTCTGATAAAAACCTGTGTAGATATGCATAAAAGTACAGAACTTGTCCAGAAACAAAAATAGTCGGTCTTTACCGTTGTTAAAGGAGCAAGGAGCTTTCGATTGGGACGACGTGGTAGAGCCTAAAAAGGTCACCACATTTTATCGAATATACACCCGTATATATATTCTAACACGAGCAATAGTCCGTCGAATAGCAAATCTATCATTTGAAGGTAAAGTGAGGTGCATGCATATCTCTGCATGAAGATCTACAAGAAAAATGCAATTTTGTAATGAAACTGCATATCAAGTCCCAATATTTTGTTGAATGCCGGGGCCTCGATTGCTTATTAATTTGTATGCGGTGCTGATCTGCTAGCATTGTTTAACATTTCAGAGCAGTCAAGTCTTTATGTTCTTATAGGTAACCGCTAAAAATCACCACTACTGAACTATTACATGTGAAGCACCTAAAAAAAGACAAAGAAAGTTTATACAAAAACCACCGAGTCAACAGATTTAACATATTTTGAATCTTTTGTTTACGTGTAATGAAGAGTCATGTATATATTATTTGATAAATAAGTTATTAGTACTGCATCACAAAAAAGGAAATGTATGGTAGAAAAATTAAAAAAATAAGAACATTAATTGTTAGGAAAAAATTCCAGCGTCCACACAACCTCATTACAGTGACACAAGACGAGGAATTTATCCAATAGTGATTAGGCTGCTTTAACTTCGTAACGATTGATGGCAACACATGGATAGTTGTCTTTCATAAAATGCTTAATAGAATTAATGTCCGAGGCTGACGTTTGTGTTACAAGAAGTTTGACTGAAGTATACAATGATGTTATATTCTTCCTTTTCCCTATTATATATATTGTTGAACTTATATGACAAAGTATGACATTTGCATTAACACATCTTTTGTTTGTATTTCCAGATCTCGTAGAAGCGGATACTTTTGTCATATACGTCGGTAAGTTATTCTGACTGCATTAGACCAAAACTCTACAGTGTGGGTGTTACTTTAAACATATCGTTCATATACTGTAATGCTAGGATGCAATACCACTCCCGTCCTCATATAACTCTGGCTATTGTGAAGACACACCAGAAAAACAAACAAAGCAATACCACTCTGATCGTCGTTCAATAACACTAATTTTCACCTCTATCTACAGGTAAATCCAACATTATAATGTCAACACTAACAGAACCTATGTAGCATTGTTTTGCCCTAAGCAGTTGAACATATATTTGGTGTTTTAAATATGTGTCGTCGACCTTTTTTTCTGGAATTAGGAAAAAAATAACAAACAAAAAACGAACATCATGAAAGCATTTATATTCTTTCAAGATTTAAAGACACAATCAATTTTTCATAAGAATATTCAGACTATATCTGGAAAAATGCATGAAAAGATCAATATTTCAGAATTCTATGTTTTCGCTATTGACAAAAGCTGTAAGGAACGACAACTTTTGGTAGAGATTGATTGCGATGGTGTGCTGTACTGGGGAAGATGTCTGATGGTCACCTCCAAACCCACACTGATCCTCAGAATATCAAATCGTTCTGACCAGGGCGTTAGTGATGCATTTTCATTTCCACAGTGCATATTGAAAAAATAAATATACAGGCCACAACTGTTTCAGTGGAAACATCATATTGATTGCATGCTCCCTAATTAAAGTCGTCTGATTTTTGCAGACAAGCCCACATTATGCGCCTCATCTACGATTTGCCCGTATGATGCGTTGATTATAGTTTGTATTGCTCTTAAAGCATAGGTTTTCCAATTGCTTATATCAGTTATAGATACAATCTCGTGTGGATCAAGTATACTTGTAGTGTGTCGATCACTCGGAAGCTCATGGTATACGGAACTATTAAAGTTGTTTGATTAAACCCTAATTGGACCAACACTCGTAGATATCAAGTTGACACCTATTCCCGCCATAGTGATTACGTAATGGCATTCAGACGTATATATCACTATATCTGTCTACTACCGATAGTTAAAAAAAGGTTCCCAAACGTTAAAACCAATACATGATATAACAACGATATTATCACAATAAAAACAACCATCGACGAAATTAATGAAGTAAGCTTATCAAAATGTACACACTCGTCTGTGAAATAACTGAAGTATAACCAGAAACCATAATCAATGTATGAGACGCATGTCGGTACGACCGCGCTACAAACATTTTTCAGTTAAAATTAAACAGCAATTATTATTATGAATAGTTTCAAGGTATTAAAGGAACATAATTTCGCCAGATAACTCGACATTCTTTCTTTATGCTACACCGTTGAGAATGTCTTAACCAGGCAGCAATGATCAGTTATTCGGTTGTCTGACTATCCATTTGCAATAGACCTAAAGTTTATCGTCCCAAATATCTAGACATCGCAGAACCTTTATCAGGGAACGAAGGTGGCCGAACTATTTTGTCGTTACTCAACACTTAACACTAAAACAATCTGTGTGTGGTGTTCAGTACTTCCCTATAGTGGACGATAGCCTCCTCTTGTTGTTCAGCAGAATCAACCAATCCTGCTTCATAGGAGTGAGCCCCCCCCCCCCCCCCCCCCCCCCCCCCCCCCCCCCCNCCCATGCACCTCGCCTTCATCCAGGGCAGATGAAATGTGTGACAAAATCGATGACGTTACATCGCATAAAGTGATGACACGACGATGACGGTTTCAGGCAATAGCGTGCGTGAGCTCTCTTTCTCTATGTAGAAAAAGGCAGATTTATCTTTTCCCTAGTAACAGCGTGAGCTCTCTTTCTCTATGTAGGTAAAGGCAGATTTATCTTTTCCCTAGTAACAGCGTGAGCTCTCTTTCTGTATGTAGGTAAAGGCAGATTTATCTTTTCCCTAGTAACAGCGGCAAAATACTGATGAAGTGTGGGAGAAAATTGCACCAATCAATCATGTTGAAATGTTCTAAATCAACATCATCAATTGGCATTGTTCTCATTTGCATTACACAAATGCTTTTAGTTGTTTAATATAAATCAATGAAAATATCAAAATTAATTGCACCTATACGTCAGTTGAAGAAGAATAAACCACTTATATTTTATTGTTATTCCCAATTCAACAGAAAAAGAAAAGACTAAATGGCAATGACAGATGGGCACACCGATTAGCTATAAATCTCCTCATGCTTTCATATACTTCTTACAGACATAATTTATAGATATGCAAACACATTTATCTTTCGGGCTGTTTAATAACACAATCGCATACCACAAGCAATCCTATCATCTCGTTATTGAATGTTCAGTGCTAACTTGGCTGTACATCTGCTGCTGCAGGCTGTGTCGGCTGTCGCTCTTTAGAACACTGATACACGATACCGATACACGTAATCGGTAGGAATCACGACATGTAAATGGACCGTATAATCGTTCTATTGTGTTTTACTTCCAATTGTTTCGCCTTCTCACGAAAAACAGAATGATATAAACAGATATAAATTTAAAGTGGTTTCTTTTCAATGTTTGGAAAGCTTTTAAATATGATTGAAAACAACAGCCGCCAAAATGGTTGGTTATAAATACACAAACAGATTATCGTTCTCTGAAAAAAAGTAAAACTCTAATCCAGAGTACACATTGAACTTTAATCTTTCAAACGGGAATACATTTTTGAGTAATCATTTATTCCTGTAAGGACGAAAAAAGGTTGCATGGTGTAAATGGTATTCGAGACATGTTCCGTAACTTTGTATAGGTGTATTTGGAACACGGGTGATTCGTACTTATCTTCTTTTTCGTTTTTGATTTGTTGGCCTCTAGCATCGTCGACGAGTCCGAGAAGGGCGTAATAACTGTTAAATGCAATGTAATTCATTATTTGACAAACTGTATTTATATTTATCATTTTTAAAAGATGTAATCGCCTGTATGTGTGTTACGGTCTGGTACAGTGGGTATATGTTTCGTTACACAACAGGTCTATGGAATGTACATGTAACAAATAATACATTTAGTTTTTCTAGTTCTATTTCTGTGTTCTTTTAACCCAGACAAAGGCAATACAAAAACCTTCTACGAATAATAATTTAACAAACACTATAAATCCCTGTGTCGTCTTTGGCATGTAGCATGCAAAACAATATGGTGATATGGATATACGTGTACACCATAATAGGACCATACAAAAGCAAAGAGAACGGGGAAATCATTTCTAGGGAAATGAATGCCATATTTCATTATAGGTTCGTACGGGAACCCCGTCATAGCGAATTATATGAAGGCGTACCATTATTAGGGCGTTCTTGATGGATCGCATGGCTACCTTGCTGTGACGTTCGCCTAAATCCGATCATTTATATCCTCTCTGAATCCGTAATTTACTTTTCTTGAAAGTAATATAATATTATAAATGTCGTTAAATATTGACTTTAATAATGCGCTGTCAGCCCGGTTCTTCCTTCAGATATTTTATTTGAAAACCGTCTGTGGTTCGTCTCCCAGGCTTATACCCCTACACATATCAAGTGTTCTGATCAAAGATGGCATTACCGTCACATACAACTCTTTAATGTTTCCCTAATTCTACTGGCCAATCAATACAGTGCATATATATATTAATTGTATATAATTTGCTTAAAGGTACACAATATACCAATATATCAGAAATGTCTTACGTGTATGAGTTGCCACTTTCAAATGGCGTGTTAGTGCCCAAAAGAGGCATACGCCATGGAAGAATTTTAACTGAAGGAGGTGTTAAGATATATTTTCTATTCTGTTTCAGATATGGCTGAGTGCACCACCAATCCTTGTGAAAATGGCGGCAGATGTGAGGAGATTGCAGGCAGTCACGTTTGTCACTGCATAGACGGATACTACGGTGTTTCTTGCACAGACCGTAGGTTTAATTATGACGTCATTATGACGTTAATTCAGACTTGTTAGGTAGGATAGAAGTAACATCTGCTGATATATCCTCTCTAGGCTACCAGTTACGTTTTAGTCGTCAATTTAGTATGAGAGTTACATCTGAAACCTTATTTTAGGACATCTGTTAATGGTATGCATTGTCGTAACAAATACGCAATGAAGATCTGTCTCCAGAGTTAAGGTATAGTGTAAATCCATATCTCTGTCAAACGGTGAAATGACTTAAAATTAGTGATACATATATCACTAATGATTAGATAATGAGAAACAATGACTCGTTGACAATATCTTAAACATAAAGCTTATTCGGGTTTCACATTGCAAGTATATACATCTTATTAGCGTCATGAGCGAAAATACGTTAGGGAATAAAGTAGAAAATTATAATGTTAATTAAAAAGTTCCAGGTAAGCCATACTACCAGTCGTTATTTTAAATCATATCGATGAATAATTTGAGGACCTTTTTTAAAAACTGCCAGGCATTGTAATTCCAATGCTCCTGGTAGTAACAGAGAACTGATTCCAAAGTCAACCAGTCTGCATGCGTAAAAACAGAAATTCTTTTTTTTCATAAAAAAAACTTTCAGTTTGTTATTAATAACATATCTTGGTATTAATGTTGCATGACTTGTAGTCTAAAAGTTAACTCAACCAATATAACAAAACTGCATGCTTGGTTAATAGAACTCTTCAGGATTACCTCCCTATAATCACATCCTGTCGATTCTGACAGTTCTGAGATGCAATACTCAGTAGACAAAACAAAAGTTTATGACGAAGGAATATAATTTAGTATCAGTATGTGAACAAATGGTGTGAACAAATGATGTCGTTGTGCTCTTTTGATTTTGTATAATGTTTAAAGCGTCACACCGGACTCTGTTGTAGTACTTTAAAAGCAGAAAAAAATTGTTGGGAAATAAGGCTCTTTCGAAATAACGTCGTCACCAACACAAACCTTTCCGTTGATTATCGACTAAATTTATATTTAATGTCTAACGAATACGAGGATTGTCTTACTGTCATTTTTTTATTTTCTCTTCATTTGAGAAATTCTAGTTTCACTACGAATGGAACCAATTGTTCAATGTTTGTTTAAGAGGAGGTGATTCTGTTGTTCGCCAGTTCGGTTGTTACCAGCATGCGCTACGGTATTGGTACTAACGCTTCAGATTTTTTTTATCAAACATGTTGCATATTTTGGATACAGTATGAAAGCATGATTTATTATGACATAGATCTACTATCCACAATGTAGCACCTTATATTAGTTGTCATCACAACACAGTTCAATATGTTGGTTATTGGTCAACAGGTTAAGTGTCTGGATTTTAAATACATTGAGGTTTTCAGACACACATATATCATGCGATTCATGGTCCAGGTCATAGGTGGCTTCAGACGAATAGATCGACAAAGCTGGCAATGGAAAACGACAACACAATTATTTTGTTCAGGGAAGTGTGTATAATTGTTTTTCAATAAACATGAGATTGGTTTAATTCTGGGCCATCAATGACTTAATATTTAAAAGATGAATTAAGAATAGAGGTAACTGCTTAACTTCAAATCTTCGTTTCAATCTAACATGTTATTTACCGTTTCCATTTATCTTTATTCATCCAAAGGCCATTTTGAAAGTGTATCCACAGTGCATTTGAGTTAAAGGGGTTTTCAGTTACTCAAATTGAAATGTTTAAATGAACTTAATGCAGCACTACCGTTGATTAACAAGCCTCTGGTGTATTTTAATCACCAACAGTCAAGTATCTGTGGTAATAACAACATTGTTATGAGATTTCCAACCTCGACTGAATTGTCTTTGGTAGACCGCTGATTGGAACCATGCTTCATTGTCCACCTACACATTCACTTTGTCGATGTGATTTTTACGATCATGGCCGCTTGAGGTATTGAAAAGATGTTTCCCTTTCAGACAATGGTTTCTTCGTGCGCTGGTCAGTCACCTGCCTGGCATCACGTTAATGAATATTCTGTCATGTTTTAATTTGAATTATTGTGTAAGCAATGGACGTGCAGTTGTGTCAGTTTAAACTATTTCTCTATTATTCTTGAGAAGCCTCGATTCCATTAATTCTCAGATCTGATCCCTTTGCAGGGCTAGGTGGTTGGTCCAATTGGTCTAATTGGACAGACTGCACGTTAACGTGTGGGGGAGGAGTTTTAAACAGAACGAGGCTTTGTGACAACCCGCCAGCACAGGGTTCGGGTACTTGCTCCGGAAACTCATCTGCAATAGAAATCTGCAATGCACAAAACTGTCCAAGTAAGTTTTTGCTAGCACCCGTTATTGATATAAGTAGTCAAACACCACACTGCAGCATACATGTAAGAGGACGTTTGATTGTATGCAAAGACATTTAATTTAAAGAAATTTCATTTTATGAAATGGATCTATTAGGTGATAATATGTAGTCTTGAAATATATGTGCAATTCCTAAAGCATAAAATAGTTTTAAGTAAAAGATATAGAAGTCAGTAACAGTTTGTCTTGTTGAATACATTATGTACAAAATAGATCTAAAGACGTTCAAATATATACTCTTATTATCTTTACTATTCTTTCATTAGTCGACGGTCAGTGGTCAACTTGGACGGACTGGTCAAACTGTACTGCAGAATGTGCAGGAGGTTTACGTAACAGGTCACGTGTCTGTGATAGCCCATCCCCTCAATATGGCGGTGCTAGTTGTCCCGGAAACGACACGGAGAATGAATCTTGCAATAATCAACATTGTCCAAGTAAGTCATATGGATATCCGCTCATCAAAGTATGATTTCTGTGTATATGACAATCGATCTTTACAAATGATGAGGCCATTTTAAAATTCTGTTTCGCTTAGCTGTCATAACTCGGATAATGATACAGTCCCTCACATGTTTACAATATTGCTAAGAAAAATGTCTTTTGGCAATACCGCGGAAATGGAAGTGCAAGAAAGATAAGATAGAAGCCCCTAGTGTTTCCATTGTAACAGCAGATCAAAACGATTTCTTGCGTAAAGACAACGGAAAGACTCAGGCGAAAACCCAAACATTGCCGAGAGCCGCCTTTTAATACCATCAATTGAAAATTGGTCAATTTTAGGAATAATTGCTAACATTGACCGATACAAAAACAGAAATAAACGAATGAACAAAGGTTTAAAACGGGTAAGAACTCTGCAATTATTTCAACTTTCGACTGCATAAGTATGCAATGTGCGTGCGACAACACATTTTCACGTATTGTTCATTTTACCGAGACTTAACGTGTCATGACAGTAACTCCGCTGAATTATTTTGTCTAATTTCATATAATAACTGAAGTGTAGTTCCATTGGGATTGTGCATCTGTCATTTGAGTCTTTATGCTTTGGTGGTCCATAAAATTATATATGCGATTCCAAGAGAATGGCATGGAGGAGTCATTTCCTTCACATTACATCCCTCACAAATTTATGCGTATACGTCCACGGGGATATGTGAACACTAATTAACACACGGTTATGCTAAATGAATTTAGTCAGAAAATTTACTATACACCAAAATGTAGGTTAATACTTAATATTGACAATTTGCGTTAATTGAATATGTCATCGCATTTCTAAACCAGCTGTCATGTGATTGGTTACTAAATAATCAGAACAGCAATTAGACCAATGTATTATTTTGCTCATTTAAATTTGAAAGAGGATGCATGTTCAACGCAAAAGCTAGCAGGACATCAGTGATCAAATCTCGATTAAAGATGAACTCTGCTGTTTAAATTATTTAGCAATGGAATGAAAAAAATTATAACTTTATTTTTGAGACAACCTTGATCTCCCTCATAGTCCTCATTTATGTTCCTTATACAATTCAATTTCAGTTTTATTACATTCATGTACTTATTTTGGTTTAATTTTGTTTCGTTTTTTTCTGTATTACTGGTCTCTGGGGTAGATGGATTGTATCCCCGTTACGACCAGTGGGTTGGCGCTAAAGGTTATTTGTCTATTTCGGCTCATTGTAGAATAGTTGTTTTATTTCTCGTTTACCAACGCCCTCGTTTGTAAGGCCTCTTGTTAACTTTAGTAAATATACATACATGAATGATCGGCCAGACTGTATTATCGTTATAGCGTTTTGTACAGGCGACCTTGAACGTGTTAAAAGGGTAGAAGAGAAAACAGATACACGTACATGGCTGCTTCCGATTCATTTTAGTCGTCTTAATGTCCCACGCACTCAGGTGGATCATTCCGAACATGTTGCCCTTCCTTTTCATCCTCCAAACAAGCAGCAGATACCTTTGAAACCATAATCGTGTAGTGTTAGAACTTGTGATGACATCGACTGGCCGGAAACCTGCATTAGACCAGGATGTATGAGAGTGACAAGACATATTTGTACGGGCTGGGCGCAATAACTTCTTTAATTAGCCAGCAGACCTTTCAGACGAAAACTACATGTATCTGTCTGTTGTGATTTCCGCTACGCGTTAATAGCTTTTAAGTCCTACAGATTGGCGGAGACAAACTCAGGGCATGGCATCTATATGACATAAACGTGATTTAATTTGATTTCTGGCTATTCATGTTTTAGGTCTAAGCAAACACTTTTTTCCAGTAAATTTTACCTGTGTCCACTATGTAATATTACCATTATACATTTTTTTATACGTATAAACAGTCGAATCATATTTCAAACTTAAAAATATTCCATTCTCTCGATTTGGATTGTTATTGTTACGAATGTCGTGTTCGGAATGATTTTTTTTATATTTGTATTATATATTGTTGATATTTTCCAAATTCCCCGTTAAATTTTCTCAGCTTGTCTTAACTGAGCATTAAAGAACGAATCGGTCGGTTAAAGATGACGTGTTACTTTTTGATACGATTATGTGTTTCCTGCATTATGTCATTTTCCTTTCGTTAACATAATGTTTGGTTATTTCTCAGTGTTGTATCATAGAGATTAAAAACGAAACTAATAAAATCTTTCATAATTTTATAATAAGGAAATGATAGGATAACTTTGCTTCGTGCTGTGGATCCTATAAGTTAGGTTAATGGGTTGCCGTACATCAATATGTTCCTATAATATCACGTCTGAAACTAAATGCCAAAAAGAAGGTAAAGATGATTGACCGACATATGCATGTTGTAATACAAAACATAAATTAGACATCAAGAAGGCAACATAATTTGACTGTGTCTGAATACCCATCAGTTAAGTGTGAAGTGATAGATCGACCAAACATATGCTAACAGCCCGATAATTTTGTTACGTTGGAAATCGAGCTGAATCTTTACTCCTTCACTCCTTTTATGCTCAAACAACGTATGATGTTCACAAAATGACAAAACATGAGAACCTTGACTTCCATTACTTTCATAACAAACACCCAATCTGTGTACAGATTTAGTTATTAACCAGAGTTTGCAGGATAAACGTTTTAAGTAGCTTGCTCTTTATATTTCTTTCCTACCAACTAGTGCAAGCTAACGTGGTTTTGCAATGACACTGTTATGACATATAGTAGGATGTACAGGCCAAGATTATTGGAAGGTTTCTGAATTTAATGTCCATATATATCTTATGGCGCAGTCAGTACGTCAATTTAACTAGAAAGGAATAATTGGATAACCCAGTCTACCTGCTGTACTCTATCATAAACAGCGAATCCCTCTAAAAAAAAATGTATAATTCAATTATGTGTTCTACGTCATTGCATCGGTTCAGTTGTACCGTATATATTCAAAAAAGTCTTGCATACGAATAAGAGCTTGTGACGTTTTTAAAAGATTGACGAAACACAAACAGATGATTACACCTTTAGAACTTAGTAATCGATACACTCAGCCAAAACATCATTACACTGTGTCGTCCTTCTAAAACTCGTCGAGGAGGCCACAGGCAAAATAAGTTGGAATTCGAAAATGATCTAAACTACTGTTGAATCAGAATCGCAGGTGCATAAAAACCGCTTAATTTGTGAATTTCAAAATATTAGAACTTGCAAATTCAATTTAATTAGTAAAGTGTGTTGACTATAAACCATGCCATTACTCAAAAGAGATTGTTGTGGCAATAGAAATTACGGCAAAGATGGACTTATCATTTATACCTTTATTTGATAAAGCTGCACAACTCCTTTGTGCAAAACAGGCTCTGGTACGTATCTTTATCGATTGGTCACTTTGTTCCGTGGAAGTACCGGTGACACATCCAGTGTATCATTTTCTCGTTTTGTTACATGAAATCATGATTTATAACGTAGTGTAATGACAAGAATGATATAACGTTAACAATTTATTTTTGAAAAGTTTAAAAATATTTTTTCATAATCTGAAACCCCATTTTATGAACCCTCATAGTAATTCTTTTCATAAAAATGTCAGTATTTGTATTTCTAAACTGATCGTTCCTTGGAGACGGTCGTTGCGGAATTCCTTCTTCGATCGTCTCTAAAACCATTTAAACTCACAGCTGACAGAATGTGTTTAAAATGCCGCAGAATGCATTTTTGGCAAACAATTTAACATGTTGCTCTACTTTACCGCAAACGATAAATGAATATTGCATCAGTATTAAATTCTGACTCCTGAACGATTAATTGATTAATTTGAAAAACGTCAACAGGCTACTGTCACGTACTCAAAGGCACTTATAGTTAAAGGCTGTCACTATACCTTAAAGTATAAAAATGATAAATTCCACATCAAATTGAATTTATTCGAAAAAAAACAATAAAGCATAACAATTCGTTAATGACACGTAAATGCTAATGTCTTGAAATATGACTTTGAATTGAGTCTATTTGGCTCAGCAACATAGGACCAAACAGCATGAATATGTAACCTAGGCCTGGTAACAATACCAAGATGCAAGGATATGTTACGGAGTAACATTGCATGTCAAATGTATAAGATTGACATTATTATACATGGGTTTACGTAACAGTAAAACAAACTTCCGAAAAGGTTTATTTGACGATACCTTTTATAAAGTGTCAGAAATATAAATAGATATTTGAAAGTAAAATAGCAGTTATATGATGCTAGTTTGGATTCGGTTTTGGGTTTTACGTCAAACAGTCCTTACTTCCTTCTGTTTAAAGCTGAATTTCAGAAAGAAACGATTTTAAGGATTTTGGTTTGTTTCGGTCGGTGAGAGAACCGACAATCCTCCTCTGCTCCCAATACGAAGACAATAAGGAGGAATCGCCATAAAAGGCGTTCGAAAACGAACAAGAAGTTGTAAAGGAGAGAGAGATCTAGTATCGAAAATGGTGCAGGAAATTTGTTTTGGACGTGTTAATGTCCCCAAGTAAGGCGAATAAATAAATTCCAACTCTGCATGGGCATTCCACATTGATCGCCTTTAAAAAATCATGCAGTGGGTAACAGCAGGTATATTCTTATATAAATCCCCTACCTAAGTGAATCGTTTGTTATCTTTTCGAATTGAGTTTAAGTGTTGACGATATGTTTTATGTTCTGTTTTAACTGTGTAAAGAATAGGACGTGTATATTATCATCGAATATATTCGTATTACTAACCTTTTTATTCCCTCAATGATTTCTATTATTATCTGTAAATCTAGTTGACGGAGCTTGGTCCGGCTGGGGGAACTGGAGCACCTGTTCTGTGTCGTGTATGGGCGGCCTGCAGACACGAAACCGGTCGTGTAACGACCCTGTACCCCAACACGGCGGAGAGAATTGTCCAGGAGACGAGTACGATACCAGTAGCTGCAATGCCAATACAACGTGTCCTCCAGGTTAGAACGTGCCTTTACTTGACAAAACACAAATACGACCTGTCCAATAGGCTGGTTAGGGCATACCTTTACTTGATAATACAACCTGTCCACCTGTAATGGCGTAGCTTTATTTAACACAACTTTAATAAAAACCTGTCAAGCAGGTAAGGGCGTTTATTTACTTAACACAACACAAATACGACCTGTCAAGCAGGTAGGGTCGAACCTTTACTTGACAATACAATATTTCCAGCAGATAAGGGTGTACCTTTACCTAATACAACACCAATAAAACCTGTCAACAAAGTCGGAAAGGTCCTTAGTTTACTTAGCACACCTTCCAGACAACCGATCCACCAGGAACATTCAGGTGCATACTACCTAATACAGTCTTAATATGTACCCCATGTGTTACGGATCCTGGCCATTCTACAGCCAGGTGTAGAGTTGCAATATCCTCCATATACATTAAAGGTTTTTTTGTTTATCTTACAACTTAACCAGTATTATTGTAGAAATTGTCACTGACAAAGTGAATGTAAAAACAAATACTATATCTTGAAAACTAACTCATAGAATTTGGTATACCAAACGCATAATTGAAAACAAAAGCAAGACATTTATCTTATATTTTTCTTTTCATTCAGTTAAGCATTGTCTGTTGCCGACATTATTTGATAGTATGTATCTTTCGCAGAATAATTTAACAAGAAATTTTGTCGCATATTACATTCAACCGACATCAATTATAAGAGTGTCAGCCAAATTTAATGAGCACATGCCGTTCTTACATCTCCTTTGTCCGTGAAGCACGGAGGGGTTTTCCTCATCAAACTATTGTACTGCTTCCCCCTGATTGATTGATTTGCTCTTTGATGTTTATCCCTGCCGTTCGGACGAAGTATTTTTCCCTTATTGTTCCGTCATTTGTCATGTATGTTCCTGGTTAGTTCAATTTACTTTTGTTATTGCCAAGGCTGTAACTACTGTTTTTGTTTTAGTTGACGGTGGATACGGGGAATGGACAGCCTGGGGACAATGTTCAGCCAGCTGTGAAGGCGGGAACTACACACGCACACGGGCATGCGATAACCCACTTCCAGAATGGGGCGGAATTAATTGTACTGGAACATTTTACGAAATTGACACGTGCAATGAAAACAATTGTCCAAGTAAGCTAAATCTGACTATTCTTTACCCAAATACTTTACGTGTACGTTATGTACTTTGTATAATATAGTATTGTATAGTACAGTCATTTGAAATCATCACCACCACTGTATCCCCTCTACACACGGAGTTTTATAAACCGTTATAGTATTGTCAATTATAAAATAACGCGTTCCTTGGCATAAGATGCAAGTCGAAGACTTGACAAAGTTTCAAAATTATTCACATGTAACAGTTTTGAATAAAAAAAGACATAAGAAAATAAGCTCTTGCCAATCAACAAAATAAGGAATTCTCAATATAAAGTACCAAGAAATACTTAGCGGAATTGCCAATACGCATAAATAAATCATTTAGAAGAATGCAATTATATAATCCATTTCTGCCCGACCCAAGCATCATGTGCCACAAACTAGAAACAACCCGGCATATCAACAAACATCAATTTGAGGAAACGTTACTCCTATTGCAAGTTTCAGAGTATGGGTATTAGTGTTTTGAAAAGCTACTTGGAGTAAACATGTTACGCAATATTATCTTGACTCTGAACTCTTGAAAACAGATTTAAACAACACTGTAGGATGTTCGTTTCACATTTCGGTCATACTCTAGAACTTAAAATAGTCGAGGCTATTTCAACTGATAGCCATTACAGATAATACTTTTTAGCACGTGATCATGAAGGGGTGTCGGCGTTCGGTGTTGCCGTGGTGGTTTTTCAAGCGACTGAATGTGTGTTTAAATCTATACATAGAATTAAGCTATATTATATAATAGTATATGGTTTTGTATCCTCTGCTGTCCAACCATAGGTATGTGACTTTTTACTTGAAGTGTATTCTAACACGTTGTTGTGTTGTCGTTGCTTCGTAGACCGCTAATATCTAATTTTAACTTCATTTCATATTGTTTATCTAATTTATGTTGTTGTTTCCTTTTATTTGCAACACTGGTTGACTCTGGAATATTTGCCGTAATTATTGTGGTTTCCTTATATGATACAGATCATCAACATTGATATCGAAAAGACTATGAGGACGAGTAACAGTTTGTAAAGAAACTATAAAGTATACTTCCTTCGAATCAAACGGACTGTTTTTCCTCAGATTATTTCGTAATACAATTACCAACTCAATAAAGATAAATCCGCAAAATATAAACACTGATTTCCTATTCAACCCAAAATCACTTGTATCAAATATTTCAACTGGGACAGGAACCAATGATTACAAATCACCAATTACTAGTCAGAGATTAGAAGCTAAATTATTGGCAATACAGATATAACTAAAACTGACGGTGCGGAATATTGTAACCATTTAAAATTGTTGGTGACCAATCGGTTGCTACAGAAAGAACATGTATTATTCCTGCGCAGTACAAAATCTTATCAGTTGAAGACATTAAAAACTCTATATTATAACAGTGAATGATAATTAATTCTTAGAAACACGTAGTTTTTAATTAAGGAAGATTTCCCTGTCTTACAAAACAAACTGTTATCCTGTAGCCCACGACTTGATGAGCTGTTGATCACCGCTCTGCTTCTCAAGTTAGATTTATCGTTAACAATACTGTTACGACTTGAAGTGCAAATCTTACCACATCATTTTGGTTGCGATTTTCAGTTGAAATTGTAATCCCCCACCGTAATGTTACCGAGACACGAAATAGGCCTAATCGATTTTTCAAATGAACTTCTCATCGGTACAGTGATAATATAATAACATAAAGAATTGTTTTTAATATAACAATCGTATCAAAGTAAAGCAAAAATAAAAATATATATAAAAAAAAAACAAGTTCGAGAGCATACCGTTCCAGATTTTAAAAAATCAACAATTTCATTTATTTAACTTATTCCCAACATCAATTTTCCAAAACTCAAAATACCATGGGGTGATATCAACAGTGCAGTATACTAAACAGGATCGTTTAGCCAATCAATTTTACAAAACTCAAAATACCATGGGGTGAGATCAGCAGTGCAGTATACTTAACATGATCGTTTAGCATTTCAAAGTATTTACCAAAGGTTGCGACGGGAAAGGGAAAATATAACTAAACAAGAATTGTTTTTAGATTGAATTTAAAATATTGATAAGCGTTTGCGTATAAGTACATATCTATAAATCGTGTTTATGATATTGAGTATTTGAAAACTAGTTGTGCAACACTGCAATAATAGAATGGCATATAAATCGTGGTATGATTAAAAAAGACAATCACACAATCAACAAAACATATTGTAAAGGTCTTCTTTGTCATAAATAATGTATAACTATTTTTGTACAGTTGATGGAAACTGGGGAAACTGGTCTGAATATTCAGACTGCACCGACTTAAGTAAGGCACAACAGAAATGCGGAGACGGTCAACGGCTGCGGACGCGAGATTGTGACAACCCCAATCCAGAATATGGTGGCGTATACTGTCCCGGTAGCGCCAGCGATTCATTGCCGTGCTCAGTCAACTGTAAGTATATTATCAATAATTTATGTCCAAATTATACTTTCACTTTTGTTGGATATTAGTTTATCAATAATATCTGTTAGGATATATCAGATATATCAATGGTAGATTAATTAGTACAGAGATACGAAAAAGTAAATGAGATAATGTACAAGGCGCTGAAAAGGGGAACGACATTGGCAATGGCTAAGGTAGGTCAGATGTTGTTTCATTGTGTCCCCAAAATTGTGATTTCTAAAACATATCTTATGCACCTAAATGTGTATACAGTTTTAGCATTGCAAATCTATTAAAATACTGAATGCTAATATTTATGGTTCGTGTGTATCTATAACACTACACCGTACGCATTGATTAAACAAAAGGATCGACACTGTTTAACGATTGACTTACAAATGTTTGTGATTAAGCACAAATGTTTTATGAGTACAAACCTCCAGCGTCTTCGTCGTTAAATAGAAGCCCTTACATATAGATTTTCATTTACAGAACGATTTACATGTAATTTGTAGGGGGTTTAGGTTTTTTTATTCTAAGAAATGTTTCTTGCATACGAATGTTTTGTTACTGATTTTATGTTACTGTATTGGTCCTCGGAGATTTCGTATGAAATGCTAAGTAGAATTCTGGTAATGATTTTAAAACTGGGTGGTGCCAACTTGAATCCTCGCGGTACAGTAAACGTTAAACAGCACTCGACCTGTACGTAAAGCTCTATCAATAATGCATACACTGTTTCGTTTGTTTGGTTGTATTGCAGAGTAATTTTCAAATCGGACAAACGGAAAGCTCTTAATCTCTATTTTTACGATCTCGTGAAATTTAAGAATACAATTAACCTTCTAATTTAAAGGCATGCGGAATTTTGTCAACATCCACTGAAATAGGGGTTACTTGCCATCGATAGAATGCATTCATTTACATGATCTTACGTCTATCCCTGATATGTTATTTAGACGTTTCACGTTGATGCAAGGATGCATGCCATTTAAATGCCACTGTCTGCTGGTAACTCTTCACATATTAAACACAAGATTGCACTGGTCTGTACGTCGTCCACATTAAAGGATGTGCAGCTATAAACGACTATGGTGTATCTGGTCACTTGTTAGCTGGCGATGTAGACATTATTTATAATGCAAAGCTACGAGGCGTTTTCATGAAATATCCTAAGTATCGAGATATCTGTAATATCGTATTGAAATAGGAAAAGCGAAATACTGGTGGCTTCTGTAGAAGACTACGCCAGACTATGATGGTGAATGGGATAGATTTACAGAGCGGAATAGGTATAGCAGGTCTACTATTCAAACGACAATTAGCAGCTTGAAATTCAAAGTAAAAATCAAACACAAATCTGCATTTCTTGGCCACGATATCTAAACCATACCCGATATTCCAGGATCTGCATGGCCAGTATCTGGTTGTGTTCGCAAAAGGCTCCATGTTATAAATATAACATCATTCTTATCCACAAACACTCTTGTATTTCCTGTTCACAAAAGAACTAGACCTGCTTACACATATTCCTTTTCTTTTTGAAAGGACGAAATATTACCAAACTTCTGTATTAGAATCTTCCCAAAAACTGGTAAATGATAAGCATACAGACCCGAATCCTTGTTTGTATGTGAATCTTTAATTTTACAGTGATCCGTATCAACAATGTCGTATCGCTTAGCTGGCTAAACAAGAAGAGTTGTTGGAATTTTAATTTTAAGGACTTAAAGTGTATATGGTCAATCTTGAGCCTCATTTACTCAAAATCAAAGCTTCTATTAGAACATATCAAAGTTTTACATTTTACACAAAAAAATGTACATACTAAACGTGTCGCAACGTTTCAAGACCGACTAGTCTCTTTGTCAGGCTATGACTGAGTGAGCGTTTTGTATTATTTACCTGTACAACGATGTGACGAAATTGTATATTGTTCATGTCACTCGACCCGAGACTATAGGCGAAATGTCTCGGGCGAGTGACATGAAAATCATACACGTTTAATACGTGCATTGTTTGTGTAAAAAGTAAAATTTTGATATCACATATTTCCAAACTGATGAATCTTATTGAAGATATTTTTCTATTAGATCACTTGACTTATCTACTGCATACATAACAAGTTCTACGTAATGCTAGCCAACTACTTCATCAAATTCTTAACTTTAGATGGTATTGAACTAGACATTAGTTGGAACTGAATTAGACATTCTTAATAATATATGTTGCTAATATTACCGATTTCTACATCTTCATTCTATTATTCTTTCCCTGATATTTATGTGTTTCCTATCGTCTACACACATTCGTCCGTCGGAACATGCATCACCTTAATATGATAAATATAATAAATTAGTAGCCTTATTTCAAACTGATCTTTACTAAGTCTACATTGTGGCACTAAACTGAGTGTTGGTATACAAAAGCAACTAAATCGTATATATTTATCATATAAAACTGTTTCTTTATATACGAACAATGTACAATTAAAACGTATCGAGAGGTTCCAAGACCTACTGTCCCGTTTGTCAAGCTATGTATGGAATATAAGTATATGTCTACCAATGTCCGATAACATGTTTGCTTCTGTGTCTATCTACGCATTATAACTTATGATATGTGTGACCACACTGTGTTTATAGGAAATAAGACTACATGTATAATAAATCAACTGAACGATCTATTTTTATTCTATCGAAACACTACCGTTCATATAGGGGTATACTAACAGTGCCAGGCGAGAACCTGGATGTACAATAGACAAATTATAATCTCTAAACCGCCGATTCTTGGTCCGGTTATATCTGTTACATTTCAATTGCAGTAAAATACTTCCTCCTTAATTAGATAGATGATTTGATGTAACATGGTAACCTTTACCTACCAATTTGGTTTTTAAGCGACCGAGACATTAATTTTTGTCCGGTTGATCAACGCCTGATTAGGTAACCGACAATATAAATCATATATCTGATATATTTTTCAAAGAAATTGACTTTCAAAATTTATATTGAATATAAAAAAAAAGATCAGTTAAAGTCGATAAAACCACTTTTTTGTAAATATTCTAAATATTTTACAGAAATCAATTTTGACAATGGGATCGATGACTACTCTACTAACCAGGCTATGAACAACAAAGTTTTGAACTACAACCCTCCACACAGTGGCCAATAATACCCTTATCACTGTATGTCAGATGATCTATCGATATATTTTAATGGCAAAACATAGCTAAAGACTGAACTTGTATGGTTCTTACATTTATGTCGTTAGTAAGTCATTAACGAAAACAGTTCGAAATCCATCAGGTTTACCATTGAAATATACAATTCATGTTTGAATGGTCGTTTTTAATGCCATTTACAAAGGCTCCTGAATTTGATGAACATTGTTTTGAAATTGTGATGACTTTAAGCAAATAATCTATAATAATGTCTCCTTGATGATTTGCCTTTCTTCAGGTTCCTTGATATGTCCAGACTATTGGCAGTCGTATTGCGAGATGCCAGACTCATGTAAGTATTTTGAGTGACGCCACTCATGTCCATCTTTATCTATTTAAGTGTCAAATGTTGTACATTTTATCCCGTTTGGTGCCTTCACTTTAACCAGCTTTTGTTCATATCACGATGTGTATATGAATTACTTGTTTTGGTGTCACCAATCAAAGACCCTGAGGTGTTAAGACATTATAAGTTTTGTGTTTCATGAAAACTAGTAAAACTAGTAGACACTAGAATCAGCGACATAAAAAGTCAAGAGTGTCCAATACGATGGAAAGGGAAATTATTCACACGATGTATAGGATTTAAAACACATTGATAGCGAACCCCTCTAGGCTGACACTTTAAGGAGAAGTGTCTTCTTAGTAAGAACGTATCGGATGTGGTGGCCAAGGTCACAGCCATTCCCACGCTCGTCCTTACTAAGATTTCAACAGAGCACCGTCCTTCGGGAGAAATCGTTTTCAAAATGTACGCGTCAATTGTAATTCCAATATTTCTCGCAGAAGACCGCAAGTTTCGATTTCTTCAAACGGACCCTTCTTGTTATTGTTTAAATAAGATATTTGTATTTGTCCAATCTGGTACCACTCCAGTTCATACATACAATGTAGTTATATCCTCCTGGGCATTTTGTTTTTATTTAATCAAAAGCGTCGAGAAGGGGATAATGGAATGTATTAATGCTGGTAAATTTTAAGGGTAAAAAGGATCATATTACAATTAAAGAAGAGCATTCAAAATAAGCCTACCTTACATTTTCTCTGTATTTTTCAGCCACTGTCCGCCCGCTCTATTCTGAGATCCTGGTTGGAGTCGTGCTTTTACTGAGTCTCCGTCAAATAGTATGACGTCATTAATGACGACAGAAGTGTGAAATAGTGGGGATAATATAGCTCTTTTGCCAACAATTCAGATGTCATGATATGATGAACAATGTATCTAGGTGTCATTGGTCTGTTTTATTGGCGGAAAAATAACACGCTTTGATATCTACATGTACCATCTACGATTTAGTACATGTGCAAGAAATCTGATTTGACCACATACTTATGGCTGTAGGTGTTCATTGAGGTTCATCGATCGACTGAGAGAAACACTTTAATTTCTAATGACCATGGAGCTTAATGTAGAAATGCTCGTTCTGACCGTAGCATACATTATCGAATGTTTTAGTGTATTTCATAACGTGAGAGATTATTTTTTTTAAAATTTTAGTCGATCAGTTTATTAATTGCAGTGGCTGAATTATGTCTAGTCAAAATTCCTGTTAGTCTAAGCCGCTAACATGTTCGAATATTAAGACGAGCTTTCTTTTTTAACTGAATATCCCAAGAGTGTACATTATACTGTAGATATATTAAATTGCTACCACATGCCCTCAACCACTAGGTAGCGGGTTCGAGACCTACGTGGGGCAGTCGGGTTTTTTCTTTCTCCGGGATCTCTTTTTTCAACCATCAAAACCTGGCACGTCCTTAAATGACCAAAGTCACTTTGAGTGATGTGGCCCAATCACCAGTGAACATTGCTGTTATATAACACTTTGTGTGATGAGACCCAATCACCAGTGAACACTGTTGTTATATAACACTTTATCTGATGTGGCCCAATCACCAGTAAACATTGTTGTTATATAACACTTTGTGTGATGTGGCCCTATCAACAATGAACATTGTTGTTATATAACACTTTATCTGATGTGGCCCAGTCCCCAGTGAACATTGTTGTTATATAACAGTTTGTGTGATGAGACCCAATCACCAAGTAACATGGTTGTTATATAACACTTTGTGTGATGAGACCCAATCACCAGTGAACACTGTTGTTATATAACACTTTATCTGATGTGGCCCAATCACCAGTAAACATTGTTGTTATATAACACTTTGTGTGATGTGGCCCTATCACCAGTAAGCATTGTTGTTATATAACACTTTGTGTGATGTGGCCCTATCAACAGTGAACATTGTTGTTATATAACACTTTATCTGATATGGCCCAGTCCCCAGTGAACATTGTTATTATATAACACTTGTGTGATGAGACCCAATCACCAAGTAACATTGTTGTTATATAACGCTTTGTGTGATGTGGCGCTATCAACAGTGAACATTGTTGTTATATAACACTTTGTGTGATGTGGCCCTATCAACAGTGAACATTGTTGTTATATAACACTTTATCTGATGTGGCCCAGTCCCCAGTGAACATTGTTGTTATATAACACTTTAAGTGATGTGGCCCAATCACCAGTGAACATTGTCAAATGTCATGATATGATGAAACATGTATCTAGGTGTCATTGGTCTGTTTCATTAGCGGAAAAATAACACGCTGTGACATCTTACACCTACGGTTTAGTACATGTGCAAGAAATCTGATTTAACCACACAATTGTAGTTATAGGTGTTTATTGAGGTTCTATTTCTAATGACCATGATGCTAACTGTATAAATGCTCGGTCTGTGGGTTTTTTCTCCGTGAACTCTTTTTCAACCATCAGATCCTGGCACGTCCTTAAATGACCATAACTGTTAATAGGACGTAAAACACAATCAACCCAAACCACTTCGCTATGAACAGCAGGTGTTGTATACAAAACAGCACTATATAATACAGTTCCTATATGAGTAGACTAATGGACGAGCTGCAGTAAAACTTTAGTCCACTCTGTTACGGACAGTAGTATAAATTAATCAAAGCATAAGCCAGTTCCTCTTCTCTAAGGACAGTGTATGTATTAATGTTACAGAAACCGTAAATAAGCTGACCGCAGTAACAAATATATAACATGCGGATTTGTTTCCTTCCGCACCGTAATAGTATATCGAGTTTCACATCACTTAGATTAATGCTGTTCATTGATTATCTTATGTGTTCAAACAAGTTACTACAGGAGCGTTTTACATGGATTTTGTGTTAAACTGAAATTGGAAATTGTCTATCAAATACGTTAGATTATGCAATGTCTTATGGCGTTGCTGTGAACGTTAGTGGAACATCTATACTTGTTATTTTTTCTGCACAACATCACCTTAAGAGCATTTCACTATTTTGTCCATTTTTCCTTACATTAACTTCACATTTTCCACTTGCAAACGTTATTGTTACATTTACGTGCTGAATCAACTGAATCCTCGGTACTCCATAGGTTACGCTCACTTTCGCTGTTTACGTCATTGAAGGAAAATTAAAGGCAAGCTGCTAGCTATTTAATCGGGTCAAGTAAAATAAAACCTGACCATTCGTAAGCTGATACCTGTCCTTTGCAGATTACAGAGAAGCGACATTCAACTGCAAAGCCAGTCAATTTTACTGTTACGCGACCGCGATATTCTTTTGATGTACATCAAAGGATCAAACTATTTATTGTCTCATCCACAAGGTGGCGCACACTGCGCCTATGATTTTGTCATGACATATTCCAGGGATGCAGGGGCGAACTCGAGTGTAACCCCTGGAGTATCAAAGATGAATCAATCCATACCACTGTATATTTAAAATGAACTTTATCGCGTTCATAGGCATATTCAGTTTGTCTATCGTCATGTTGCATAAACATGTATATGTATTTATCTCATTTATTTAAAGTACTCTAGTCTACAGTATACTATACAAATAGCAGGTTTTTATCATTTTAGACGTATCAGTATGCAAGTGAAATGACATGCAGATACTGGTGAATGGGAGATAACTCTAGTGAAAAATGTTTAGAGAATTGTAAGATGTAAGTAAATATTTATGAATATTGTGTTTAAAAAGTCATCAAAAGATCATGTTTTTCTTATATTATGCTACTATGGGTGTTAAGAAGGTAAAATCCTCATGAATGAAATACATGTAGATGTAGAACTGGATGCCAATGTGTGATGGACGTTTTGATTCCGGAATTATTATTCAAAAACATGTGATCATGTAAAATTACATTATGTTAACTGGTGTTATGAATTTTGTATTGTTCTTATGTATTTATAATCAAAATCATCCCGTTTTGTGTTACAGCTTTACACAGATTATAATTAAACTCCTATTCATATGGGCTGACATATTTGACACTTTAATTGAAATAATAGCACCCTCTAATGCTGTCACGGGTGTGAGCAGTGCCCGATATAATTCAGCAACGACAACTCTGTTGTCTTTATTTTACCTGTTTAATTTGTTTTTAATTTTTGTCTCAATTTTTGTTCATGAATCAATGAATTACAATTTGTAGGTTTCTAATTATTATAAAAAACACCATGTCACTTCATTGTCTACCGTGTTACTACTGAAAGTGGGGATGATAATACTTTCGAATAATGACATCATCATTCAGGATATGGGTAAACTTTCGCCGAATTAGAATGGAGTATACCGCCTCAGAAAGAGTTGCCGCAAAACTAACGTAGCTTATTCCCTTCTAATATGTACTTAAACAATAACGTCATCGATGTGATGTTCACACAAACGCTTGTTTTGCATTTCACATTAAAACAAAATCAGTCACGCTATCAAAGTAGTGTAACGTCAGGATACCACAATTGTTACGCTACCCCTATTGGTGCACGGTCGGAAAATGGTTCGAATAGTTCTTTAAAATTAAAATTGAGTATTTTCTTCTGTTTGTATAACAAAAGAGATTTTTATCAGCATTTCCACTAAAAAAATGTTTTCAGTGACATTTTAAGAATAAACGATAACTTCAAAGGAAACATGTCCCAGAACCAAAACGTAACTACGTCCGTCGATTAAATTATGGAGGTTTTCAAGGGGTAATTATAAGCCCGTTTAAATGTTGATTTCTGGTCCTTATGACCAGATGCTATGTAAAAGTGTATATATATACAAATATAGTTAAATATGATATTCATAAAAGCAGTATATTTGTTGCAATCGGCACATGAGCTAATAGAAAAAGATACACGTTTCATAGCCTGTGATATGGTGTAACAATTAGGGTACTAATTATTGCGAATCATGGACGAATTTTAAAAAAAATACATTATTTAAAATCGAAACTTTTCCAGAAAACAACCACCATTGAAAGTCTTTTTCAATAATCAAGAAACATTTCAGATAAAAGAAGGTTTTTTTTAAATACACTGACAAAATCTAAAGTATACTAATTATGGTAGGCGTTACATGTGTTGCTGGTTCAATGAAATGACCATGCGACATTAACATTTGATTGCCATGTATAAATATCCATATTTCTGTGAAATTGATTGGCTAATTATATAGTTGTACCCAATGAGAGAGCTAGCATTGCCATAATAACCTGTATAACCACCTTTTGTCGGCTGTATATATTACGTTTGTGATAATGCCGCATCAATAACAAAAGTAAATGCAAAGAGGCATTTGTAAAAGCTTTATACAACACACATGTCTGAAATAGGAAAAAGTCTGAATCTACAATTTCTTTACTTCATTTTGTCAACAATTATGTTATGAACGTTATTTTGTAGTATTTTTTACCAACTTATAAATTATGTAGGTGGTATAAATAGTACTACGACATCCCAATGTAATGTTGTTAAGCTAATGATAACGTCATACCTTAAAAAGGACATACCTATATGCGTTATTTTGGTTCGTCATTTTCTTTCTGGTGTACAATTCTTTTACAATACTTTACATGTGGTGTGATATTAATATTGTCAGAAATGCTTTATTAGAAATGATACAACGGGATCGCGAATAACAGTCGTCTAGACGCGAAAACTTGTATAAAAAATAACATGAAATTGTGATTGTACTGTCTGTTAGAAGTAAAATCTTAACAATACAATTGCTTTTAGCATATGTGATATATTACTTCATCAACTTCATTTATTATGTGAACAGATACACACATATTGTAGAATCTCTAAAAGATGAGAAACCCAACAGTCCTGAAGAATGCAGTTATTTGGAACCTAAATTACTACATCTCGCTTTAGAAATAAAGTAAACACAAAAACGTCGTTATACTGCCACCACTTGTCCACATTTTGGTATCAAAATTGGTGATATGTACCAAGGGAGGCTTTGTTTAGAAAATAGAAAATATGTGTACATTCTGGTAATGATTTCGAGGTTTTATTGAAAAATGATTTCTTTCTTTGTATGTGTGCGTGTGTCTGTGTGTTTATCATCAACATTTGATAATATTTATAAATATACATATCATATATATGAATGTGTGTGTTGATACATCAGTATGTAACTAACGAATGCAATTTATGACGTCACAAGAGTGTAACCCTCCCGTCCTGTGTGTGTTAGAATTGTCATAGAGTGTATGCTTATTAATCATTTATTTATTATTTATGAAATCAGTTTCACCTTTGGGATGTCGACATAAAGCTTATGTTTATTAGTTATTTATTTATAAAATTAGTATCATCAATTGAATGTTGACATATAGCTGATTAAAACACGATTAGAAATGTTAGATTAGTTGACGAGTGTGTTAATTCGCATATGATAGTGTTTGGAATATAAGCTTGTGTAGGCTCTACCAAACTGATTATGTTTTACAATCAACTATCGTTTAGATATTCATTAACGATACATACATAATATGAGATTTCTATCATTTCTCTTCTTTTTTTGTCAATTTGTATGGAAAACTAGCTTAGCGCTGAGGAGGCGAGATAGATAATAAAACTCATGGTAAACTATTTGATGTGGTATACTTTGATTCGTTTTCTTATCTATTCTTCTAATTTATGTATTCTGACAAAAAAGTCCCAAAACTGCCCATTCATTAGTGAACATTGTTGTTATATAACACTTAGATGTGATGTGGCCCAATCACCTATGAACATTGGTTGTTATATGACACTTTATGTCGTGTGGCCCAATCACCAGTGAACATTGTTGTTATATAACACTTTGTGTGATGTGGCCCAATCACCAGTGAACATTGTTGTAATATAACACTTTGTGTGATATGGCCCAATCACCAAGTAACCTTGTTGTTATATAACACTTTGTGGGATGTGTCCCAATCACCAGTGAACATTGTTGTGATATAACACTTTGTGTGATATGGCCCAATCACCAAGTAACATTGTTGTTATATAACACTTTGTGTGATGTGGTCCAATCACCAGTGAACATTGTTGTTGTATAACACTTTGTGTGATGAGGCCCTATCACCAAGTAACATTGTTGTTGTATAACACTTTGTGTGATGAGGCCCTATCACCAAGTAACATTGTTGTTGTATAACACTTTGTGTGATGAGGCCCTATCACCAACTAACATTGTTGTTGTATAACACTTTGTGTGATGAGGCCCTATCACCAACTAACATTGTTGTTGTATAACACTTTGTGTGATGAGGCCAAAGCACCAGTGAACATTGTTGTCATGTAAGATTTGTCTTTATTCGACCCCTTCGCTATTGAACAGTGAACAGCTTCGTTATACTGCGTTCTTATTCTATGTGTATGTGGCCCCTTCATCAATGAACACAGTCGTTATGTAAAATTCTGTTTATTTGGTCACCAGAGAACATCGCCGAAAGAATTTGGTATTTTTAAAGGGGGTATGGGTCTTTTTAATAACGTAAGGGAAATCACTTTAGTGTCCACTATGACGGGGAGCCCCCTCTCAAAGGTAGTTTCAGCGTAAAACAAAACCTGACAGCATCCATGGCCTGTTTAAACAAAATTGTATGTGTGTATGCTAAACAATTTGTCGGTCGAAGGTTTGTATCGGAAAGAGTAATGTAATCTGTTTGTTTTGTAAGATAACTTACATGATATGCCAACAATGTTCCATTTAAAAAATGTATTTCATTCGACATCTTAGTTTTCAGGTTGCCTTCTAAACATTGATTGACATTCGTGTGTCTACCTTATATTCTTATGGTGTGTATTTCAGATAATCAATTGTAAATATTATATGTTTTAAATTGTCAATCTCAACATATTAGTTGTGAGGAATGAGTTTCTTAGAAAACGGTAAAATTTAATAGACATGAAATTGATACACTAATGCAACTTGAATATTTTTAACAATCCTCTCATAAATATGATTTTTGCAATTTCAGGAAAATATTTCATAAATTGTTTAATCAGACCAGAATTTGTTAACTTTAAATTAAACTAGTTCATAAAATGTTGTTTGACTGGTGCATGACCAAGAGAACATGATTGCCCTGCACGTTGTACAGAAATGTGGATATTGATGAAAGAATTAAAATCATTCATAAATACAGTTGAGCATTTATTGTTTATCACATGTGTGTATACCTTGCCACAGAACCCTTGTTGTTTAAATTGCTCGAGTTTCACCCCCTGACTTTAGGCTTCATGTTTGTCACCAAACTCTAGTATTACATGACATTAAGTGATATTTCTGATGTACAATAAAATCAATATCAGTCTAACAAGAGC